TATGTTTGCCTGCGCGCATAGCATCAAGCATTCCAGCCTTATACACGCGCTCATTTGTATGTGTGTATGTATGTACACATAAATGCGTGCTCTAGCAAATTCTAAGAATCCCGTTGCGATTGATTTGTCTTTGCATTGTTTTTGAATTTCCAGCCGCTACACTGGCTTTTCTTTGCTATGTGGCGTCATAACAATAATGTGATTTCATTTTAACTACTATTGATCGAAACAACGCGGTGGTGCTGTAGGCTGAAGCGCCGGCGATCTTTATTTTAGCTATTTTGACAAACATGCTGTTTGGGTTGGGTGCGAGTTCAAATCCCGCTGAAAACATTTTTTTGTAAATTGCAAATTTTTGTTATTTTAGCTTTTTTATATTTTATTAATTTTATAAAAATGTTTCCTTCCGTGCTATCAATGCCTATAAGCCTACTTATGTGTACATATACATAAATAGATGACTGACGCATATAAATGTCGCAGTTCGGGCACTGTAAATACCGATTGCCACGCCCCTAGTGGCCGTAGACTCCTCAATTTTAGCCAGTTCTTAGAACGAGCAAGCGGTTACATAAATGCAAAATTTGAATTCTTACGCTCAAAAAATGTGAAAATTACAGGGTATTTTTCGATATGCCACGCTCCTAAAGAGGCTTAATAATTATTTTTGGGGCATCGATAGAGGAGGCCACCAGTAACTTAACTATCCAACTTTGAAGCTTCTAGCTCTTAAACTGTAGGAGATATAAACTTTTGCGGTTTGCCACGCCCCCTATAGGCGGACATATATCTACCATAGCTCGTTGGACTTGGGTGATCAACCCGCGTATATATACCAAATTTCAGATCTCTAGCATCAATAGTGCCTAAAATATAGCAGAATTCGAAAAATCACTATATCTTCAGGTCCGATTTGCCACGCCCCTAGTGGGCGTAGATATATAATTTTTTCACCCATCTTCATAGAATTAAAACATTAGCCTACGTGCAAAATTTCAGCATTCTAAGTTTATAACTTTAGGAGATACAGTTTTGTCCGATTTGCCACGCCCCTAATGGGCGGAGATATATCCGCCATAGCTTGTGATCTTGGGTGGTCGGCGCGGACCTACATACCAAATTTCAGCTTTCTAGCTCTTCAACAAACATGATTTCGGGTATATCGGAAAATGCATTTTCCGATTTGCCACGCCCCTAGTAGGCGGATCGGGAAAATTTTAACACTTTATAAATCGGAGATATACACGAGTATGTGTTCCAAATTTCAAGTCTCTAGCTTCAATAGCGCCGAAATAGATTGCGTTCATACGGACAGACGGACAGACGGACAGACGGACGGACAGCAAGACGGACATTGCACAAAACCAATATACTCATTTCACTTTCGTGAATGAGTCTAAAAAAAAACCAACAAAATAGAGGTAACCAACTGGTTTAGTCCGCAAGTACAATGCAGCTTTCAAGCTCTGTCGTGGTTCGTACGCATGAAAATCAACTTAGAAAATGTGCTAATCGCATATGAAAAGAAAAACAAAAGCGAGTTAGCAGCTACGGCTGTGTGCCATGTGATGTGAGATCGCGTCTCTCGAGTCGAGCCAACAGGTATGTAGAGTGCGGATTATGCATTTGCAGCAACAATGCCAAGTACTCGCCAAAAGCCAATATGCCCCACAAAGGCCAATTGTACTCATTATGGAAGTGTTAAAACGCTCAAATTATAAACTAGAAATTTACACGTTGCCACGTTCACACATTTAAATGTGGCTAAGATACTTGGAGTCCATTTGACACAAATTGTGAATTTTGAGATAAGTGTGTATATTATTATAGCATATTATTTATCTGATGCAATCAACTCACTCGCTTGTTATCTATACATTAATCGAACCTCGATTGCGAGTCGTTTGCCTTATCCGGCATTTGTTTGCCCCATTTGCCAAATGGCAACTGATAACGGTGCCAGACACCAATACAAGCACGAAAATCGAGCTGGAGCATAGATAACAAGGCGACTTTCGTAGCGCCTAGAAAAGTGCTATATGATAGCCAACAGCACAAGGGAGACGGGAATAAATCGCGTTTCGTTCCGAAATAATTATTTTTATATTTTTACAAAGTTTCTATAAACTTCTTAGCAACTTTTTCAACTTGTTTTTTCCAGTTGCGGCTTAAAGAACTCAAACGAAAACACACACACACACACACATACAGCAAGCATACAAGCCAAATTGTATTTAAAAGTGCGAAAAGTAAATATGATTATATTTATTTTGTACATGCAGCAGCTGCCTTATGTCAGCACTTGCCAAATTTAATTTCGTGGCTCACATAGAGAGTATTTACATACACACACACACACACACACACACACATACATACACATTGTCCTGGCTGCTGCGATTTATTGGAAATTTTTCTGTTGCGTCTACAATATTCGAGGCAGTGTTTGCTATGCCCAAAAGTATGCTACGATTTCTATACATGTCGCATAAGAATGAGCCTGTGTGTGTGCGCCTGTGTTAATGTGTGTGCTAGTGTGCGTGAGCGAGTGTAAGTGTGGGTGCAACCGTGTGTGTCTAAATGCTAATTTGAATAATGACAACGACATCAACGCGGCATTTTCTAGTTGTTGACTGTCAACTCTGCCCCTGCCTGACCCTAGCGCTGCCACTGCGCCATTGTGGATTCAACTTGAATATATCGCATAGAATATTAGAGCGAGTAATAGACAAATCAGTAAACGATGCAGGTGTACTGCTATACCAAAGACAACGAATCTTCAACGTTGAGCACATTATCCCTAAACATTATTTAAAGATTCGGCTTTAACTCTAGAGAGCTGCGGCGGCGGAAAAACCTCAATTGCTTTATATGCTTGCTTTTCCTATTTTCTCATACCTTAATCAATATTTGCCCTAGTGTAGGGTAAATATTGATTAATATATGATTTACATTCACAAAGTGTATATAGGCTAATAGCCCAAAACGATTTGTATCCTTACACCTATTACAGGCCTTTGTAAACTATGTCATGATAAAACGCACATGATACAATCATCGCCACGAAAAGCAGCGTAACATTTAATCAGGTGGCATAAAAGAATATTTAATATATAAATATACACATATCATATATAAATAGTTATTCGTTTAGATAATAAATCCCGTTATAACGACGAACATTCTGGTCCCCTGTCAAGAGAAAACTTATACGGTTAAGCCGTCTTCCGGTTATAACGATGGTCCCTTGAGTATCGTTATAAACGGATTCTACCGTATATACATACATAAATATGAATATACTCATATATGTGTATATACATACATTCTAAACACTTACTTTAATCCTTTCTACACCGGTTTTTTCCTGGAAATATTAAGGCAAGTGGTGTGAATTAAATGTATTTCTGACTGAGGATTGCCTCCCTGTCCCCCCTATTCCTGTCAATGGGTTTTATATTTTTTTAACGCAATTTATAATTTCCAAGAAGCTAAAAAATTGGTTTTAAGATGTCGGTAAGCGTTTACAGCGATTATTGGCCTCAAAGTACCCTAAAATCTTTATTAATATCAATTTTGTGGCCTACGCAAATTTGGTAACTGTGCCTGTCCCATTGAGAGAGAATTTAAATTTGGGTGAGCTAATTGAGATGAAACCTTTCTCTGCGAAAATTGGCTTAAACAATTTGCTGAAATGATATCGATGAGATCGTTTTATTTCAATTCAAACGGGAACTTGTTTATGAGCTATACTTTCACTTGCTTCGGTAGTTCATTAATTCAGAAAACAGAAATTCAATAGAAACAGTAGTCTATAAAAGTAAAATAACTAAATAAATGAAATATTAAATGGTTCATGTTATGCTGAATAAGTTCATAACTATTTAATTTAGCTGGCACGCTCAATTGAACTACTTCTCTTATGCAGATTCTCATAATGCAGCTAGAGGGAGTATTACAAAGTCGACTACCGCCAGGCAGATTTCAGGTGTTCTTTAATTTATATTTCATTGAGCTGCAGCTAGAGCTGGAGCTGGTAGCTATTAGAAACGTTTGCTTAGTGAACGAATACACTTTACTTTGATGGTGTTTAGTTTTGTATTGATCTTTATTCTTCTGAGCCTGGGTTTATATACCCAGACTCATGCATAATTTCAACCCTTAAATCTAGTGCGTATATTGCTGAGTGTGTAAGGCTCAACATTGGTCTATTAGCTATTCTTATCCTATCGCTGAGGTTGTAAGGCTCAGCGCTCGTCTCTTACATATTCTTATCGCTAAGGGTCAGGGTCATATTTTATGGACAGTTTGACAGCTCACACTTGAAACATATGTTATCTATTTTATGCCAGTCGTCGAGTGCATAGCGCGTATGTTCCCATACTTATCATATTTCTATGCATGTTCCTGAACACTTAGCTTGAAATAAATTTCTGGCATTTTGCAATTAAATTTTCCCTGTAAGTTTATTGTTGACATGATATGCTCAAGACCTCGGTATTTCAATGCAAAACTAACAGATGCTAATTTCGGGTAAACTTTATGCTTGTATTAGTCATTTTGCATGGAGAGTCTATTCAGTCAATCTATGACGTCCGCTCCCCTCTGAAGGCCCAAGAGCTGACAGACATGGCAAATGACTTCACGCCTCGTTGAAAATGTTGGCGCTTGGAGACCATTTGCATTTTGTGCCTGGCCTGGTCTGCCACGAGTCTGACTGCGGGCTGTGGAGGGGAAATGTTTGTATTCATTAGATGTGGCGCCGTCTTGAAAGGCCTAGGAATAGCGAACGTGTTCGGTCCCAGCAATCAGAGTCGGCTCACGCAAGCAGAATAAAATCGTTGACAACTTCAAAGCGCAAATTGAAAGTTAAAGCTTCCTGATAATGATGATGATGATGATGATTAAGATTATGATGATGACGATGAGAATATGCGAGTCCCTCGCTTCCCTTGCTCGTTTTTCAATAACCAACCACTGAATATGTTTACTTCTTGCAGAACCGCCGAGGAGCAGGAACAGGAACAGGAACGGGAAAGGGAACCGAAGCAGGAGCCGGAACGCAACATGGACGACGACGACGACAAACTGGTCTCGGACGAAGTGCATCTACGCCAACTGAGCTCAACGCCGGCCTCGGCGCTGCAGCAGCGCCGCCAGAACAACAGCGTGACTCGCTCCGCGCCACCCGAGCTGACGCAGCGTGGGCCCAGCGTGCAGGAGCCGGAAAGCGAGGCGGAGCAGGGCGTGGTGCTGCGACGGGCCATGGGCAAGGGGGCCATTACCTTGGCACAAATAGACGATCTAAGACTGGAGAGCGACGACGACGACGACGAAGAGGATGACGTGAACGACTACGACGATGTTGACTGTGGCCAGGGCTTGAGCAATCCCGCAGCGCAGACCACAAATGATGAGCAGATTACAGCCGCAACAATGGCAGCTACGGCCACAACAATGTCAGCCACAGCCACAACCACCGCAGCAGCAGCAACAGCAACAACAACAACAACAACAACAACAACAGCAGCAGCAGAGGTAAGCGTATTGTGCGGAGGCACTTAGGGCTAATTAAAAGCTAAACTGAAACAAAAAAATCAGCAGGAAGCGGCCGGCAGCGGAACGTGTACGCCAACCACTCTGGACATGTCCAAAATACCACGCCTACCCGGCGACGGGGCACAGATGGACGACAGCGGCGATCTGCCCCACTCGCTGCAGGCCTCCGCAGCCTCGATTTTATCCAATTTGCGCAAGAAACAGCAGGCAATGCTCGCAGTTGGCAGCAACGTCGGCGTCGGCGTCGGCAGCGGCGCCGCCATAAACGTTGACCGACCTGTGGCCGGGGCCATGGCCAAGCAAACGCCGCGGCGAGTGCAGTCCGTGCGCATCGTCGAGGACAAATCTGGCTATGGACCCAAGCGACGCACCGAGAGCTGCAGCATATTCGGCAACAGCAATTTCGGTAAGCCCAATGACAAAATATCATGTTTGTATCAAGTCTCTCTATAAGGCCACAATTGCATTGCCTGTTACGAGGCTAAGTAATAAGCAGAGGCAAGTGAAGAATTTTCACATGGATATTGTTAGGTAATTTATTTCAAGACTAAATTTAGTCAAATGAAAAAGGAAGAACTTAATTCGAATCGAGTTCAGCCTCCATACGATGCATATCTAATACGATATGTACATCTAACAGAGGATAATTGGGTATTTAATTATAGAAATATATATTGAAGTTGCATCTTGATCCGCTTCTTTAGTCAAGAGATTCCTAAGCCAAAAATAATTCAGAGCAGATCTCAACAAGTTGTTGACTCTGGCTCAATAAACAGGCTAAGTTCTGTTCATGGTAATAAATGTTTCGTTTGAAAATCTATACTATTTGTTTAGTAGGAAAACAGTCAATCTAGCTCTATTCATATTATCGTTTGTTAAACTACTCGTTTGCATTGAAGATTTCAAAAAATATAAATTCAAGTTGAACACATATATTAACTGCATTAGACACGACTTACAATTACCTAAATAGTATTTAATATTTCATTTCATTTTATATATGAATTGAAGACGAAGAAAAGTTTGAGGCAGCTAATGCGGTTTGCATTCGGTTTATTAGGCAGAGCTTCATTTGAGTCGTAATTTAGAAGCCTAGTGTTATGAAACTAGACTAAGATACATCAGCGACTCAATAGAACGAATTGCACAATCGGAATCCGATAAACCATAATTTTAAGTATAATTTAAATGCAATTGGAGTCTACGACGACAAAGCTAGAGCAAATGAGCTGTTAAAAATTGTTTTCGAAAATATATGCCCTTTCAATCAACATCAGTTGTGACAATCAGTCGACAATATAGAATGAAGGAAAATGTGGTTTCCCCCAGTGCTGAAGCTACTCGTACTATGGCTATTAGCTTCTGGCTCCTGCACCTCCCTTCAGGCGAATGTGCGACGAGTAAAGCGTCTCTCCTCACCAGAATTTAATACTGAAACATACACGAAACTGACCAAGTACGTGGTGTCCTTCAGGTCGCGCACGCCGGTAAAACACTTTGGCGACAATCACTACTGCGGCGGGTCGATAATATCGCCAGTGTTTGTACTGACTGCTGCAAGCTGCGTCATGGAGTACGTAAATATGCTGACTATATTGACTAACGATCAGAGCCTACAGAAAGTTTGTGTTGCAACAGCGAACGCAAGATACCCCATAGCAATCGAGTGCTGCAGATCGTGGCAGGAGCCCCGGACCGTCTGAGGGTGCTCAGAGGCATGACCATCAATATTCCGATAAGGAAGATCTTTGTACCGGTCAACTATACCCTCAACCACACTTACAACATTGCGCTCGTGAAGCTGGGCTTTTCCCTGCCCTCAAAGAATCCACACATCGGAATACTCGAGTTGCCCACAAGTCCGCCAATCCCTGGACAGCTGTACAGAGTCCTAGGCTGGGGTCGCATGTATGCCGTTAGTCTAATAGGTCTCTTATTGTGTTTGTTGTTGGTTGAGCTTACGCCATATCCCACTGCTTGCAGGGCGGCTTTTTGCCAGCGAAAATCCTGTACATAGATGTTAGGTTGCAGACGGAAAAGACTTGTAGCTCGCTGCTGGAAAACTACGAGCCCGAAATGCTGTGTGCTGGCCAAATGAATGCCACACTCGATCAGCATCCCTGCCCGGGCGATACTGGCGGGCCACTCATGGACAATACCACGATTTACGGCATCGTTATTTATAGTCTCGGCTGCGGTCACAAGCGAATCCCATCGGTCTATACGAATGTGTGGTATCACTTGAACTGGATCATAGCAATTACAAAACGGAATGGCAGCACATTGACCCGGAACCGGCTCCTCCTCTCACTGCTGAATGCAATCATAGCTCTGTGCTCTAAGATGGTCTATTAGTTCGTTGGGTTAATTTCATGCATTTCAAGTTATTTTATACGTAGTACATTTTATACTTAGTCTAAAATAAATAGCCTATTTCAGGCTAGATCTAGTCTATTTGAAAGTTGCGTAGTCATTCTCCATTGAAAGTGGGTATGGGATGGAAGAGCCAGACATTGAGGCAAACTATGCTAAAGTTCTAGTCCTTAAGAGAACTATAGAAGAGAAGAATAATTATAAATATTATAAATACTTTTAGCCTTGGCAAGCATATACAGTAGAATCCAGTTATAACGACTCCGCTTACGGTTATTGCGACGAAACAAAATTGTGGTCCCCAGACAAAATATTATGTGCAAACTTATACGGTTAAAACTTCCGAGTGTTTTTTTTAAAGGTCGTTATAACCGGATACAACTGTATATTCTTGACCAGCGTAATGAGGTAATCTGTTTGTATGACTGTCTGTATAACAGTCTCTCTGTCTTGCTCCCAGTCTATCTCTCAATAAGTCTCCCTGCCTGTCTTTCTAGCATTCAATCGAAGAAAAGCAATAGAAGATCATTTAAGTTGTTTATATGTATTCAGCAGCATTCGTTTGGCATTTATATTTGAGTAAATCAAAGCTAGAACTCTTGCAGCAGCAGAGACTGTTCCCATTCGTCGCTTGAAGCTCGACTACCTAGCGACGGACTCAACAGTTGAGCGCGACGTAGGCTTTGAGTGAAAGTCGCCCTATATAAAGGGCAGCAGCTGCAGCATTTCTTCAGTCTGTCAGTCCTAGTGGGGGTCAATCGTGCAGTGCAATAAAGTGAAGTGAAGTGTGTGATCATTCAACTATGAATTGGAGGAAATACGTAAAGCAATTACGTAGGGGGAACACATAAAGGAAAAACGTAGAGGAAATACGTATAAGGAATACCTAGAGGAAATACGTAGAAAAATTACTTGAGTAAAACACATATTGCGAATACATAAAGGAAATACTTAACATACCGTAAAAAAGTTTTCTAATATTGCCTTCAACCACACTAGCAATTCCGCGCATATTGGCTCAGCCCTTCGCTAAGTTTATACATACATATATCATCATGGAATCAGATCTATCACACTTTTGAAACAACTATTGTCCATCGGTACTATCGATAACGTCATCGATAGCTTGAGCAGGGTTTCTTTAAGAAGAATTAAATACTGTCAGATGTTTGACAATCTCCCAGAAAACTTTAATTGTCTTGGATTTATCCAGCCAGTGAATACCAAGAATATAATATAAAATCCTTTAATCCCATATATATTCAAAAATTATAATACTGAACGTAAGTTACACATGGAATTAATCGAACCCAGTGAGCTATACCTGTAGGAAATGAAGACATTGAAATCATAAAGGATCACGCCATCACTGATTTTTACTGACCAACTGTAGGTCTTCAAGTCGAGCTAGAATTGATGCAGTTAGATAATCATACTTTACTTTTAACGAGTCCATATATTTCCCATGATATTTGGCTTTTTATTGACATGCCAATTATCTTAAATTTTTATAGACTATGAACTGGAATCGGGCCAATCGATTGCCAGCATGGCGGGTCCTCAACGCCCGCTGAATAATGAAACCTATTCGGCCTTTAAGAGCGGCAACGTGGTCAAGGGCATACTCTGTCCCTCGCTGACCAACTCCTTCAAGCAGAGCTCGCTGGAGAGAAGCTACCTGACCTACACACACAGGCAAAGGCAGAAGTCGCTCATCATTGTGAACGTGGTGGACTTTGTGCTGAAGATCGTGATGGCGCTCATCTGGATGCTGCAGCCGAGGGAGGATCGCTTAGACACGGTAAGTGGAGCAACGATCTGAAATAACAGAGGTCAAATAGTATCTAATCCGAGTGTGACCTCCGTGCAGAGCTCGAGCTATGCGAGCACAGCCACTTCGATTACTTGGTCAGTTTGCTGTGGCATCGCCAATCTGGCCATTTGCTTCCTCGGGTACTGGCGCTGCTTTGCCAACAATTATTTGCACTGGGCGGCGGTCTGCACGTGGGTGCTCTTCAATATCCAAGGTGAGTGTGTGGGTGGAGGGAGGAGTGAGAGGGAGAGGGGCAAAATGGCTCGTATAAGGCATAAATCATGCGTCACATGCGCAGGCCATTAAATTTGCTAATCCTTTGGCCGTCATAAATGTTTTACTGCCTCTGCGACAGGATTCATCAGCGAAGGCGTCGGCTTCGAGAATCGGGAGTACCTGGTCTGGTACATTCTGTTCGTCATCTTTGTGCCCTATGCCATGCTGCCGCTGCCGCTCAAATGGTGCGTCGTGGGCGGCACAATCACAGCCAGCTGCCACCTGGCCGTAATTACCATCAACAAATTGCAGGACAAGACGGTACGAATCACCTACTAGACCTTATTGTTTTTGCGCCCTCTATAAATGCGTGTGTATACGCACATATTAATATAAATGTTTACAGACGCCTCTGGACACGAACTGCGTGCTATTCCAAATCATTGCCAATTTCATTCTATACACGGCGATTAACGTGGCTGGCATGTATACCAAATACCTGACGGATCGGGGCCAGCGATTGGCCTTCATCGAGACCCACAAGGCCATGGAGCACAAGAAAGAGTCCGAAAAGGAATTGCAGCGCACTCAAAAACTTCTTGATTCAAGTAAGTGACAAGTTTTTAACAGAATTTTATTAATTTGATATAATAATAACGCATTTTAAATATAAATATTAAGTAATAATTTTGATTTTTTAAATATTAAAATTTATTGAAACGAATTAAATTAAATTAAAATATAAATTAAATATTAAATTCAATTAAAATTATTTTTGTAAGTGATTCAAGTAAGTGACAAATATTTAAAAGAATATTATTAATTTTAAATATAATAAAAATAGTAATCATGTTCAAAATTTAAACAATAAATATAATTATAAATTAAAATTATTTTTTAAATTATTAAAATAAAGAAAAGGAAAATATTTTTGGAAAAATTAAATGACGCTAAAGTAAATAAATAAAATTAAATAAATAAAAAAATAAAAAATTTTTATTTAAATACAATAAAATATTCCTAAAATAAAATATATAATATATTTTTTCACTGCAAAGTCAATCAGTAAATAACTTTTTAGTTTTTAAATATATGGGATAAAAGCGTTAAAAAGTCAGCTAAATATTTAATATTTCATATTACTTAATTTTTATAAATATTGTTAAAACAATAATGATAAAACAAAATTATTAAATCAATATTCATATTTAAAATATTCCAAAGTTATAATTTAAAAAAAAAAAGTAATTTACAATAGATCTATAAATTATTATGAATTTATTTCGTCATATATAAATCAATATAAGTATGTATATCTCTATCAGTCTACACAAGGTGTACTTAAATGTTATCTGCATTATCTACACTCGGTAGAGAATTTCAATTTCTGAAAACTCAGTCACAGGTAGCACTGCAGGCATGCAGGTAAACATAGCAAAGTTCAGCAGAATTCACAGATTTGAGCTCTGCTCAGTTAGTTTGAGTTGCTGAACGACTGCAGGCCGGCATACATATTTACTTAAATACCGATTTCCATATACACTACAATACTTGAGTTGAATTTGTAATTTTTGTAACCATTCGGTTTGCAGTTTTGCCCAACATTGTGAATAATCAAATACGCAGCGAGATGTACAAGGGCACGGACCCCACTGTGGAGACGCAGTTCAACAAGCTGTACGTTTACCCCATGGACAATGTGAGCATACTGTTTGCAGATATAAAGGTAAGCGAGGTGTGTTCCGAATGAATTGCTGTAATTCAAATTTAAATCACTTTTAAAAGGGCTTTACCGAGCTGGCGAGCAAGACGTCGGCCCAACAATTGGTAAAGATTCTAAATGATCTTTTCGCTCGGTTCGATCGCATTGCGGAGGTAAGTTTCCTTCTCCTTTGCATGACGTCTTTCACATTATTTTCTGCCCCACACAGGATAATCATTGCCTGCGCGTTAAGCTGCTCGGCGATTGCTACTACTGTGTTTCGCAATTCGAAAGCGACAACTGGAAGACGCGGCCGGATCATGCGGTGTGCAGCGTCGAAACTGGGCTGCACATGATAAAAGCCATCAAGGATGTGCGGCTGCATACGCACGTAAGTGTCAGGAAATCTCCCCTTTTTTATCGGCTGTAGTTAATGAATGCTTTTCCATGCGTGAAGGCAGACAACAGATTTTTATTTGTTTGTTAGCATGTAAACCTTTTAAAGGGGCGTATGCATAGGATTGCAATGTAAATTTACATACTATTGCATAGTTTTAGGTGCTTGTTGAAATCAGAGTGAGCTAACAGAATGCTGTTAGTGCATTAGAGCTGATAACGACATTTAAACATCACGATTGAGTGTGTGTCTTTTAACAGTGGTTAAACATTGAATAGATTTAACAGAGCGGTAGAAAGTACATAAATCCAGAGAACTAACAGAATGTGGTTATTACACAGCGCTGTTAAGTGGTGTAATACTTTAATAGCACTGCTAACATAACTAAAATTATATTAACATTCTACATAGCACTGTTGGGAAGAGTTGACTGCAATGTAGTGGAAACTGAACAGCGCCCATGCTGTCAGCATTTCAAAACTAATAAAGTTAACAGCACGCTGTTAGTGACAGTCAACAGTTAAACTGCAGAAAACTTTTAAACGTTTGCTGAGTGGCATAATTTTTTGGAATTTAATGCCACAGATTTTTCAGCCGTCAGCCATTTTGGTGTGTTTTTTTTACAAATTTTGCACATTGTTTTTGCTATGGCCGCAGCGTCGCTTTATGTGGCCTGTCCCTGTACTGCCTGGTCGCTGGACGTTGCAGGACGTGTTGACAATTCATTTGTATGCAAATCTCAGCAGAGCAAAAGGCAGCCGAAAACGGCCAATGACAACGAAAGCAACAGCAGCAGTAGCAATAACATATGCTTGTGTTTGGTTTGTTGAAAATGTAGATACCCTGTAAAAAAAAAAGACAGTAATCATATTTGATATTTTGGAGTTTATATTCTAAAAACTGGGTTGCATTTCGATGTAAATAAAACTTAGTCGATATTGTAGGCGTGGACGGTTTTGTAATTCAAAAGTAGTAATCCTCCTTCAGCCTGCTGCCAGCGTTACAGGGTAAAGGAAACAATAGCAAGAAAAAAGTTATACACACAACTGCAACAAAAAATAGAATAGATGCAGATTCGAACAAAAGCTCAGCTTCTCTTCGACCTTTTGGGCCTTTAAGCGCATTTAATGAATGCAAAACTTACCGTAGGATAACGACCGACCCAAAAAAGCATGCGGCAGTTGCAGTTGCAATTGCTGCTGCCGTTGCAGGTTGCAGTTGCAGTTGCAGTTGCAGTTAAGTTCGTGCTTTGCATAATTTGCGTATTTTGCGTTCGTTAATTTTGCAGGTCGACCTCAACATGCGCATCGGCATCCACAGTGGATCCGTGATGTGCGGCGTGCTGGGCAACAAGAAATGGCATTTTGATGTCTGGTCAAATGACGTTATCATTGCAAATCACATGGAATCTGGCGGCATTCCCGGGTAAGTCCAGTCACGAATTTGTTACACCAAGACCAATTCTATGGCTCACTAATTAGCTCGCTTGTCAACAACATTATGTGCGCCAAACAAGGTGCAGTGGCAAAAACAAACCGCAGCACATCCGAGTAAACTTAGGCGTATTCAAGCGTATTTATTATCAATCAGATTTATCCTCAAAAATTATAGTTTAGGTATAACATTGATCTAAAATATATTTTCTATACTAGTGGCATCAGATAGATGTATAAATGAAGTATAAAAAACTATAGCAAATATAGCTATATAAACAAATAAATAAATGGAGAAATAAAAATAATATTTTGTCCTATTCGACATATCAGGAATGATTACTTCTTGATGACCTTAGTCAACTTTCTTCTCAATTATAATTGATTTTTTTCTATCCGTAATAGTGAAGATAAATTTATCACTGAGTTTTATTTCGTCTTTTCTTAATAAATTTTTTAGAAATTATTTTTTATCAGACAACTTAATAATGCCTTTATTATTTATGATTTTTATTAAAAATTTCCTGCATTTTATAATATTAATAAATATTATATCTATGATTAGTTCCAAACATAATAAATATCTTGGGATATACTTATAAAACGATCAAGCTTTTGACAAGAAATGAAGTTAAGTCAATTGAAATTGTTAAGAGTGCATGACTTATACTAATAAGGAATTTCTAAAACAAATAACAAAGAGGTAGAGAAATGAAGAACGCAAGGAAGACGCAAGTATTTTGGCAATACGAACTGAAAGTTGAGGCGGTAGATAAGTAAGAAGACTCAATCGTGGTTAATATAGCTACAGCAAGAAATTTATAAGTCGGAAGAGTGATGTTATTAATTTTAAATTTTTTTTATGATTTTCCATGACGTGCAATTGAAGCAAAGAGCATCGGAATTTTCCATACGTCCCTATAATTAAAATCTATCGTTTTTTAAATAGTCACAAATTCGATGTTCATTCACCTGTGGATGTAGTTACATAGAGAATCGCGTTAAGCAAATCTATGACGGATCTGTAATAAAATATATTCACTACAATTATTAATTATTAATTGATCATAAGACTAATCGTTCTACTAAATTAAAAAAAAAAAAACATATAATGAATCGCATAAATATTCTCTATAATTATTATTCATTTTTTATTATTATTAGTTAATTATGAAATGAATTATTCCACAAGTTAAGTTTATTAACGAATTTAGATGCTGCTTGAACAGCATTACAATTTTAGCTCAATTGATCATACCTGCCCCAAAAAGTATGCTATATTCTTGGCACACAAGTAAGATGCTAAAAGTTCTGCAGAATTTTTGATTTAATTTGGCAAAAAACTTCGCTTTCAACTATGCAAAAGACTTGGCTAGTAATTATATTTCGATCGGATTGCAGCTCAAGTTGATTGGCAAAAATTCCGGAATGTAAAAATCTCGAATTGCTGCCAGCCGAAACGAGCTGCAAAATAACTTTGGCTGTGCTTGCGCCTGTAGCTTGTGCTTGTGCTTGGCTGCCTCAGTGCTGCCTTAGCTAAATTCGCAGTTGGCCACATTTTTAATTGGCCAATTAGGGTATGTCCAAAGCTGGCAGCAACCAACAACCAACAATTGCTGCCGTAATTTTTGCTAGCTCAGCGTGCTCAGACAGAAGAAACCAGCCACAAAGGCAGAGCCAGATACAGAGACAGAGAAAGGCAACAACAGGAGAGGACAAAACAAATCAGAGAGCAGCCACAAACCGAACAAGATGAAAAGCAAAAGGTTCCATTTACTGCAAAATGTTTTGATTTAATTGTGGCCTAGGCAAAAACAAAGCCCAGAGCCAGCAACACAGCCGCAACCAGAGAACTAGAGAAACAGAAATATAAACATAGGGCAGGGCAGCAGCAGCAGCATCGACCACAAGGGCATCCCAATTATGAAGGGCACACAAAGGCGGCTGAAGGGCGGGACAGGGCGGGGCGGGGTGGGCAAACTTTACGCACAATCGCAGAAAACGTAGACAAATATTTGAATTTAATTTTCGCCAACTAACCGAGCCTCACCACCTTCCAGGCGCGTTCACATCTCGGAGGCGACTCTCAACTGCCTCAACGACGCCTACGAGGTGGAGCCGGGCAACGGCGGCAGCCGAGATAATCATCTCAATAAGCTGAACGTGACCACCTATCTAATCAAGCGCACGGAGCCGTTGAGGTAAGTGCTCCATGGCCATCCCCCTTATCTGGCTTATGTATCTCCAAGCACTCTGCCTTCTGCATTCTCCGCACAGACCCAAGCGACGCTTTGGCACCCGCAGCAGCGTGCATCAGAGCAGCAGCATTGCCGCTCCCGCTGTTCCCAGTCCGGGAACTGCGCCGCTGCCCAAGTCCATCTCGGCCAGCGGCAGCGGCAACGACTGCAGCATCGGTAGCACCACAGCCGGGGCCATGGGCGACGGCAGCAGCATCGATGGACGCAGCTTGGACGTCGCCCTAGCCGTGCAGCCGTCCCAGCTGCTGCAGCAGCAGCAGAAGAAGAACATCTCGCTCAACTCGCTGCCCAACGTAGTCGAGGGCGTGGCCCTGGACAGCCGCCGTCTGCGCAACGGCATGGCCACCGGCAACGCCGGCAATGCGAATGCCAATGGCGCCGGAGCTCCTGCTGGCCTGTCCACCGTCTCCTCCCCCACGGCCATGATGTCCAACACGCTGGAGCAGCAGCTGAGGCCACGCAACGGCGCCAGCATACAGAATCTAGCGGACTCAATCAGCGCCAAGGGCCTGGTCATTGAGGACGAGAGCACGACCGAGTGGATTCCGGAAATACCATTTCGAAATGTAAGTAGGCTGAAGAGATGAGATATTATCTTATGATACCTACATATTTATAGCTATAGAAAAGTGGAAAAATAAAACTAAAGAAATTAATATAGACTATAGTAGATAAGAGATTCAGCTAGGCTTAGATGTTATATCAGGTCCAGAAAATTTCGAAATTTTATTAGCTATTGTAGATAGATACAACTAAAGTTTAACATAAACTATTAACTAAATAAAAGTTAATAACCTGAGACCTGATAAAAGCTGACTAATATTTTTCTCATTGAAAATTTCCGATTTAAAGGCTTTAGAATAGTATAGTATGTTGCAGAAATTATACCAATCACTTTGCAATAATTCCTTTGATGTTTAATGGAAATATTTTGAATGATATTTATGACATGTTAAAGTCTATTTATGCCTGACTATGGAATTCATTAATTAGGTACAACAAATTTAAATAGTATAAATTTGCCGAATAGAGAAAGCCCAGATTTGCGTATGAGTTTCCAGATCTACTAGCTGAGTTAGAATAGTGTGATCTAGTTACTGCTTACGAGCTATAGCTACTGTTAATTTGTTAATGAACAATCGTAGTAATTTAATAATATATTATAACAGAAAGAATAAATAATATTTCATCTCAATTAACATTTTCAGCTGACCAGTCCCGAGGAGACATTGAATCGCACAGACTCCATATTGGTAGATCCCAAGCTGGATCATCGCGTTTCGGTAACCGCCATGGATGAGGAGGTATGTATTCATATAATTTATGCACACAGCTCTCCTATTAATCGAACATTCCACAGATTGACGAGTTCATCGAGCAGAATATTCAAATCAATTCGAATAAGGAAATACGACGGGAGTATCTGAATGCCTGGACCCTGAAGTTCATCGACAAAAGCCAGGAGCAGAAGTTCTGTCAGCTGCGCGAGGATATGTTTCGGTGCGTATGGAGCGAATTCAATGTGAAAGGTCAACTTCAGCAACCAATAATTCTCGTTTTCTCTCTTTCCCTGCTCTTTCTGTCTCTGTCTCCGTCTCTGGCTGGGCGTTAATTAATGAACTGTTGCTAATTGATTTCTACCATCAGCTCCAACATGCTGTGTGTGTTTGTCATTTGGATATTTATGGTGCTGTGCCAGGTCATAATTATACCGCGCTGCACCACAGTCATCATTTGCCTAGCGGCTGGCACTGTGGTGCTCACCTTCTGCTGTGTTTTGGTGATGGCCGAGGAGTTTCCAGGTAAGTCGATTGCTGGCTAACTGCTGCCATTGTTTATCAATCAACTCGATCGACTTCCAGGCCTGCCCAACTGCCTGAAAATCAACTCGGCCAAATTGGTTCATCAGCGTCGACGTCGCACACTCTTCATCTGCGGCGTCATCGTGTCCATGTGCTTGCTGAGCGCCATCGGCCTGGTGCTCTGCCCATCCTCCAGCTACAACGGCACGACGACTGACATGAAGCTCTCTAACGACTCCTGGGACGGGGAGGCGACGCTCTCCATCACGCATACGATTCAGCAGAACATCACAATACGCACGCCGGCTATCGGAGGCGTGTCCATAGAGTCGATTGCCAATCTAAGCTCACCGCTGGAGTCATTCGAGCTGTCCCATCGACCGTACACCTTAGCCAGAAACAGTCGCAATCCGATTAGCCTTCCACCGGATGACACCTTTCGCTGTGTGCACCGCGAGTATATTGTCTTCACCTGGGTGCTCTGCCTCGTCTCGCTGGCCACCGCCCTCAAGCTCTACTACTTGATCAAGGCAATCATGGCCCTGGGCATGGTCGCCTTCTACACCACCCTGATCTTCATCAGGTTCAGCACCGAGGAGAGCTTCAGCCTGGCCAAATTGCGGCAGTACGGCATGCCCCTAGGCGTACAAATGCTAATCTTGCTCATCACCTTTCTCATCATGGTCTGCTATCATGCCAGACTCGTCGAGGTATGTCCAATATATAATACAATAGATAGATAACATGATATGGGCCTTTAGATATACACGTGTTCATTAATATTTAAATTATAATTTTAATATAGGGTAGGAATACTTATGAAAATTTTAGACATAATTTTTTTGCCTACTCATTTTTGACCAATCCAAAGTTCTATTGGAATGGTTTGAAGATAATTTTCTTTTATAACTTTTGATAACTTTTATACGTTTTGATCCGATAAGTAAGTTTTTCAATTAAATTTTATATCTAATACGAATGTAACATTTAAAGAATTTAGATCCAAAATCCATAATTGAAAGTATATTAAAAATCAAAATTAGGGTCCACAACAGAATTTTCCAATCTGTAGTATTTAAAGGTCTTGAGATCAACTCGTTCAAACATACGGACGGATAGACCTTGCTAAATTGCCGTCTTGGTCAAGAATATATATACGTATGTGGTCTGCCACGCCTCCTTTGGCATGTTACATATATCTTAACAAAACTATTATACCCTGACTTCCCATTTTGAATGATTATAAGGGGTATAAAAAAAAAAACAGAGGTGAATCTGTCTTGTTCCAAGAGCATTAGTGTCTATGGATAAATCGATTGCTTGTATACATTTCCATTCCATATTTTATTGTCCATTTGCAGGTTACCTCCCGGCTGGACTTTATTTGGAAGGAGCAAGCGGAACGAGAGCTGAGCAACATGAAATCGAATCGTGCTCTTAATGACACATTAATTAAGGTAACAGTTGCTCAATCCCCCCTCCCCCCCCTTCGCACACACCCATGATTACTCATTAATTAAATGCTTGATTTAAATGCTGTCGCAGAACGTTTTGCCGGACCACGTGGCCGAGTACTACCTGTCCGACGAGCACACGGACGAGCTCTATTCCAAGATGCATAATCTGTGCGGCGTTATGTTTGCCTCCATACCCAACTTCCAGGACTTCTACTCGGAGGACATCGACAATGGCAAGGCGTGTATACGCATTCTAAATGAGATTATCTGTAAGTTGATTGATTAAATCCAAATGTCCAAATGGCTAATGATGTCCGGCTCACCCACCCAGGTGACTTTGATGAATTGCTGGAGGAGCCACGTTTTGCATCCATCGAGAAAATTAAAACCGTGGGCGCCACCTATATGGCTGCAGCTGGACTCAATCACGAACACCTGCGCCTCCGCGGAGAGACTCCCGAGGACAGCGTCTGTGACCTGGTGGAGTTTGCGTTCGCCATGAAGAAGAAGCTGGAGGAGATCAACGGCGACGCGTTCAACAATTTCCAGCTGCGTGTCGGCATCTGCAGCGGACCTCTGGTCAGTGGCGTGATTGGAGCACGCAAGCCCGTCTACGACATCTGGGGCAACACGGTGAACGTGGCCTCACGCATGGACTCCACGGGCGAGAACTGGCGAGTCCAGGTGCCAGCCAATACGGCAGAGTTTCTCTGCTCGCGCGGCTATACGTGTGTGGTAAATACTGAACAGTTGCGCTAAAGGAGAGGCCAAATAATTCAATATCCACGTTGCTCTGCAGAAACGCGGTGAGATTAACGTAAAGGGCAAGGGCATGATGACCACCTACTATGTGCATCCAAAGGGCATCTCGGACAGCCAACTGATCTCCCCTGTGCGTATGCCGGCGGGCATCCCTCTCGCCCAGACGCCCAATCTGCAGCGACAGACCTCGCATCATGGCTCCTTCAGTGCGGTTGTCTTTGGCATGATGCAGGCCACCAAACGCAGCACCGCTATACCCGGCACACGTGAGTACCATGCAGACTGAGAGATAAAGAGAGAGAGCGAAAGTCTCTTCTTATAAAAAAATATAAAATCTCGCATATAAATTGAGAAAAATGAGCTCGGAATTCTCTTTAATCTTGATTAACTAACTCCTTCTAGCTACCGGCACGCCCTCTCCGCAAATACGTCGGGGTCATCGAGGCAGCACCTTCAGTTCGGTGCGTCTGTCGCAAAAGTCGACTACTGTTAACCCAGTGCGACGTAATACAACCCGAGTGCGAGGACGGTCCTATCGACAGAAAAAGGTATATCTATTTGATCAAGCCAACTGCATCTATATCTATCTCACTTTTTCTTGCCGCAGAGCTCTTCGAACAATTCAATAGTCACGCAGGCCAGTTCCACGTATATGCCCTCATTCCGGCGGATCGATCAGATCGAAACAACTATCTCGAAAAGCCACAATGATGCTTTATAGCCTAGCATGCGCACCAATTGGGTTTAAAGATCATCAATTGCCAAACACTACTGTAGATTCAATTCCAGTCTTCGAGTTCTTAGTCGAGTCTAGCTACTGGAACTGGTGTCCTAATAGATATAACAACTATTTAATTCCCATACAGAGCTAAGTCCGTAGAGATCAAAGTTGTTAGCCAATCTATATTTGTAATATATGTATGTATGTATTAGCTAATTGTATAACATTATCTCAGCACAATCTAGTCGTATATATAAATACATATTAAACTGTATACACATAATGAGATACCATTTTTGTTTGTTCTACTATGTACATTTTCTCTATAAAGAATCAACGATCTTTTCTTAAACATCTACCAGAAAAATTGATCTATAAAAATTATTATTATAAGGTAAACTTTCATTTAGCATAATTTAATTAGAATAGTTAAAAGAAAAACACTTTTAACAATCATAAGTAAAACAATGATCAAATTTTTCAATTACTGTACAAATAATATACCCACGATTTCACTAGGTCAATCTCTATTTATATAAAGCACTTAAATATACAAAACTAAAATTAAATGTTAAAAAAAAAATCCATAATTTAGTGATTTTATGTGTAAAACGCGAATAAATTTGTAGATAAGCGATAAAAAAAAACCACACACACAAATCTTAAAAAAGCTAATGTAAAAATAATAAAAGCCCACATATGAATATATATGTATGTATCTACCTAAATTTGAAAATTGATGTATGCACCGCAGTGTAATTAAATAAAGGTTACAGAAATAAATGTGATAAATAAAACAAATCAAATGTCGGGGAAATGGAGTTTTGAACAAAACAACGGAAGTCAAAGAAAATGACCAGACGAACAGTCTCAACCATATATCGAAAACATCAAATATATACCTAATAAATGAATGAGAGATGAAACCAGTTAAACGATGCAGAAATAGTGAGTGCTTGACTAAGGGATACCATGTATCGTAAAAGAAAGGTTTCAAACGTTCCATATTTACATAGATTCGCATATTTACTTAAAGAAATGACTGTACTTCTCTTTTTCTAGTTACTTGAAATGCTGATCGATACTTATTGAGATCGAGCTATCGATAACGATAGATATATATAGCTACATATCAAATCATCATGCCCCTCTTTAGCACATACAATGGGTATAAAAAGAAAACCGAAAATGACGCCAACACTCATCGAAATAAATGCGGCTACAATAACAAGAAAAACCAACAGAAAACTCTATTTTTATAACAGATGCAGACGAATGCACCTTGGAACGAACAGCGGGCAAAAGGAAGGCGAAAGCAACTGGACGGACAGCTGGGCGCCGAAGCACTTGACGAGCAGACGGTCCGGTCCAACTTCCCACGTTGGTTACGTTTCGTTAAGCGAAATGATGAAAATGCAAATGACATTCGTACGCACGAACTTCAGTTAGCAACTGCACGGGTACACTATTAAATACCCTAATTATATGAATGCCCTAAATATATGCAAAGTAAATCATTTCAAATGTGTGTAAATTATTCATTGAAATACATATTTATTTATATGCTATTTCTAGATTTCTATTTCTATATAAGTTTACTTATATACATTACGCCCATATTATCATCATTTATGCAAGTCGAGCATGCCATGCATAGGTTATAGAGTATGGGGTATGTACACATACGGAAACGAGAACAACAAAAACATCGCAAGCAAATGCCGATGCAGCAACCACTTGTGCACTTCCACTTATTGGCGGCGCCGGCAACGCCTAATGTGAATGTGTGCGGTAGTTGATAAGACACAATTGTTGTTGCTGCTGCTGTGATGCGTGTGCGGTTCAGAGAGCAGAAGCAGCAGCAGCCGCAGCTACAGCAAATGCATGGGACAAAACAAACAATGAATGAAGGCGAGTAAATTTTTAATTTCAGCCGGTTGTTTTGTGTCGTAAACGTAGATTACCGGTTTCTTGGCCTCTGAACCGAAACACCCACCTAAAATAAAAATACCCTACATGTGAAAACGTAAGGAACATGAATATATTATTTATTTTAAGAATATAGATCAGATTATTATAGATCATTAGAAATTATATAACTTATTCAAATATATATTAATAATATCTTCAGGTTTGTATATTGTTTGTATATTGATACAATTTTTACCAAAATTTATTATTATATTACTTTTTTTTACTAAAAATGTTACTTATTTATTTATAACATTAAACGGTTTATTTGTACATTAAACAATAATACCCTGATTTCGCATTTTCAATGGGCTTACGGTATATTTAATATACATATTTATAAATATATAAAAAAAAAAAAGATTTTGTAGGTGATGCTCACACGTAATTCATACAATGTGAATTCGAAGCATTAATAGAATTATATGTAGGTACATATGTATTTGTACTGCCGCACAATGTTGACCGCCTGTAGCGCACTCAGCACAACAAAAATGCCCTAACTTTCCCGGAACTCATTTTGCTTCCGCTTGGCGCTAAAGCAACATGTGTGCATCAGTCCGGGTTTGCTTGAATGTGTGCCTCAATGTTCGTCTGTACATGTGCATATGTATGTATGCGTTTACCGGCGCAACCCCTGTTGCTAGGCATTCCAATTTCATTCATAAATGTTAAGTTGGCAACAAGCAATTTACATTTTCCTAGCGCTGGTTAATTGCGCCATTCATTTTACAGAAAAATATTAGGAGAGAAAAACATGAGAGGATCAATAATGGTATAATGGTCGTATAATTTGCAACTATTCATTCCGTTTTTTTTTTAGAAAAAAATACTTCATTCAAAATATTGCGCTATTGCTCAACTGTTCGATAACTAAAACAATCTCCAGTGTTAATAAACAGTATTTTTTTGCTAACATGGCTCAGTATTTTTTTATTTTTTTTATTTTTATTTTTTTTTTTTTTTTGTCATAGAAGTTATATATCATTACACTTTAATAAAAGAAACGTTGTAAGAAATTCTAAATTTTCAGTTTTAGCATCGCCAACTATCCATACATAAGATTTGCATATCGAAATTTCAAAACATGGCTTAATAACTTAACAGAGTGTTTGAAGTTAACAGCACGCATGCTATCTCTGTCTGCACGTCTTGCTTCTTCTGTTAGTTTGCTGCTCGCTCTTCATTATCGTTTCATTTCTCGTTGCGAACGGTTGTGCGATTTGGTGCGCGTATAGATGTGTAAGCATTTAACTAATTCGCTCTTTCACAAATCGAAATCGAAATATAATTCACCGCTTTGCATTTTATACACCCATTCGTTGTCGTCGGCTTTTTACTATATTGAATAGAAACCCAAAAATTATGTGTATATATGCAAGTATTAATACACACAAAGTGCGTGAAGCAACAATAAAGTGATGTTAAAAGCATTGAAATACAAAAATCAAAAAAAAATCTCGAACAAAACGCATACGTCGTAGGTCGTAGTCGGTGTCGGTTGCGGTTGCGGTAGAACGAAATCGAGTTATTTCCATTTACAATTCTTATCTAAATGCAACCCTGTGAACCAGCACTAACATTATGTTGTTGAAAAAGAAGCGATATATGTGCGAAGAGCAGGACGACGCTATCGACATCGTTGCTGGTTTCGAGGCAAGCAACAACAGAAACACCAACGCGAACAACAACAGCAGCAGTAGTTATGGATCCAACATGGCTGAAACACGCGAAGTCCGAATTGAAGAGCAATTAAAAGTGAAAATTGGTATGTAAATCTGTGCAAATCAATGAAAACTTCAGAACAACTACTAAACGAGGCCAATATGTGCATAAAGTAACTACAATTTGCACGCGTATGATAGTTTGTCGATGTGAAAAGTGTATTGGAATGTGAGCGCGTCGCTATGAGGCGCCCAAGCAAACGTAAAACAGTAAAATGAATAGCAGCTTTTTAAAAGAAAAATGTGCAGCAAAGAGAATAATGAATTAGTGATTCCAAAAATCAATGAAATGCAACTAATTGTTTAGCATTGACAAAATACAGTAACAAATGCTATTTTTTTGTTGGCTGAAAATGCATTATTGTGTGTGAGTGTGAGGCAGCAGCGTGCGGTGCTGTTTTCGCGCACGGCAAAGCCGTATCATGCCATCTCGCTCTGGCAGCACTCGCGTGTGTGTTTTTTGATGCAGCAAGCAACAAACGAACATTTTACATTGTTGTCGTTACTGTTGCTGGCAAAGCCAACACGAAGCTAGTTCCGCTGCTGTTTTGTCTACCAGCCGACACCGTTGCTGTTGACTGGCTGAATGTTACGGCATCGCCCCCGCTGCCGCGTGCAGTTGCCCCTTTTTGTGAATGAATTTCGCTTGTGTGTTTGTGTGTGAGTGTGAGTGACGACGCTACAGCTACAGCGCATGTGCCAACACACTTACAGAGGCTCACATGCATACACACACATACATGTGCATATTGAGCGATGTGTGGGTTTTTTCATGAATGGAATTCGAATTCGGTGTACTTTTCTCTGGTGCTGCCGCCTACCACACGCACGCACACAAAGATACATGTCATATTACCAACACAAACGCAAATGATGTTTTATGAATGATTATCAAGAGCAGCTGGATTGCGATGTACGATGCTGATAACCTCGATTTTGCCATTTGATTGCACATCCAAGTCCCGATAACAAAACAAAGTTTCTTCTTCATATCGATTAAAGTATCCGCCAATATCAAATAAAAAAGGTCAACATCTTCACTGGTTCCATGAATGGAGAAGAGTCGCATCTCTATACCTGACTGTCTCTCTCTGTCTTTCACACATACTCTTTACCTTCCTATATCTTCCTGTCTGGTCATAACTGTAACCACTTCAGCATTTGCGACTAGAGGCGACAGATTCTCGTGCTTTTGTTGCGGTTATTTTGTGTACTTGACTGGTTTTACATTTCCTGTATCGCCTTTTTTGTCGCTCTTTTGGCGTCTTCGTCGTGTGAATAGAGAATTATGAAAGCAACAAAAAAATTCAAAACTAAAACCACAGCCGAAACGTGGGACACAAACAACAACAACTACATAATAAAAAGGGTTACTTCTATTTATGTGTATGTGTGTGTGTTTGTTTGTGTAATGGCCTCATTTGCCTGCCGCCAGCCTGTGCTCGTCGCAGTCCGATCGCATTTCACACCTGCACGGAGCCCCAACGCTCTGCAAATAAACATATCTTGATACACATTTATTTATTTTTACCTCTTTTCCATATTACTTGTGGCGCGCTCTACCCGGTGCCTTGTTCGTTGCTTTACATTTTCATTTTCCGCCCAAACAAATTCAATCTTTTCGCTTCGTCCATAAGAGGCTTTTGCTACGCTGCTCAGTCGCCCCTTCTGCCTGCCCCCTAGCCCATGCCCTTGGGCTCATAAATTATATGCAAAGCTGCTGCAACAACAGCAAACATTGTAGCAGCTTTTGATTTCCGTTTCCCATCACATGAATTTCCTTTCTTGCGTGTGTGTGCACGGTTTCGGCTCGAGTTCTTTTGCCATAAAACTTTTGCTTTTGCATTTGCTTTGCTCCCCTTTCCAAGACATTTTTTCTGCTGTTTTTTTTTTCTTTTATGCATGCTTCAATTGTTTTCGCATGTGCTTGTGTCATTGTCGGCTCGAACTTTTTGTCTGTCTTCTCTGTCCCTTTTGCCAGCCGCTTCCTTTCTGCTGCTCTTGCACCACAAACTCTCAGCTGTCTTTTTCTCCTTTCTGCTTTCGGCATAATGCTGCTACCTCAGCAGCTTTTGTGCTGTTTACTTTATTATCTTATACTTTACTAAAGTTGGTGGTTGACGTTTTTGACGAGGTACTGAAAAAAATATTGCGACAAATATTATATAAATATGAGATATGCAAGGTGAGATTTTTAATACTTATACTATATATATAAATATGAAGAAGAAGGGGACAAGCAGGCCAGCTTTAAAACACTTGAGGAATTAAACCGATATATTATTATTAAATTGTATTGAATTAAAGCTCTCATATATGGTAATGATTCGATTATTAGCTAATAACTTAAATCCATTTATTATGGATTTCCCTGAATCCAAAAAACTATCAAATCATATCATATAATTAGAGTTCAACAGCAGTTCATTGAGTAAATTAAGGTCACATTGTGACAAAATGTTGATTCTTATAATATGAGCACCGTTATACACCTAATGCAAGTTGAACGTTCCCTTCGTTCCGTTCCATCCATCCATCGCCGTCCATCCGTTCGTTCTTCGTATGCCCGTTTGTCTGGCTCTGTCTTTGCATATTTTTCTTCTCTCAAGTTTCATATTTCCACTTCATTATGCTTTGCATGCTTAATAATACTTCCACTTCGTGCTCAGTTTCAATTACACAAAGTTTCGCTTTTGTTTGTTGTTGGAGCTTTCCATTTTGTTGGCTGTTGCGATTTCTATACCACATCGCGCCAGCACTGACCGAAATTGGCGTAATACTTTTTCCACTTAATTAAAATGTTTAGCGCATAACCTAAATTTCGTTTTTCATGCGATCGCAAATGCGAGCACCCTCTCCTCCTCTCCTCATCCACACATTGAGCATTTAGATGCCCAAGTTGCAAAGTTGCAGTTTTTTGTCCATAGAGGGCGCATGCAGCTCAGCTGCCAGTGACTCATAACTGACTCATTTAACTGGGATGCTAGAGACAAGATACAATCCACGAGGCAAGCGCAGCTATGCAATTTATGCTGAAATATTGATGACAATTTACATGACGCGACGCCCAGATGACAACTTAGTTGGTGCTGGAAATGGAGGAGGTACTGGTGGGCAGGGCTATGGTATGTGTTGGATTAACATGGGCCACACACGCACTGCGGATTCTGTTGAACTTGAAAAGTCTAACAAGTAGCTGACAGTTTGTTGTAACAGGCATAAATGAGCACGCATGCATACGTGTGTGTATGTGCTGTGTGTGTGTGTGTGTGTGTGTGTGTGTGTGTGTGTGTGTGTGTGTGTGTGTGTGTGTGTGTGTGTGAGTATGTGTACAACAAGAAATAGTTTTGCCTAAAAAGGCAATTAATTAAAAGCCGGTTGGTTGTTGTTGTTTGGGTCCGAGCAGCAAATCCCAAACTGGTTGCCAACAACCAACCACTTGAACCACTGAGGAGAGAATTGTCCGACTGCCAGGGACTAAGTATTCTAGTCTCTGCTCTGATCTCTGTTGATCTTCGCTGCTTTGTTGACAATTAGTCTGCCTTGTCGTTTGTCGTGTTCCTTTTGTCTTTGTCGGTTGCTTTATTCACTCTTTTTTCGTTGTTTAATCATTTTTCTAATACATATTTTTGTCTTTATAAGCGTGTACGCTTGGCCAAAGAGCAATTAAAATGGCATTTTTCATTAGAAAAACTCTTGAATGTTTAAGCCATGTGCTGTGGTCGTATTTAAACACTATCTGGCACTGTTATCTTTTGCTTAGTATCTAAATGAAATGAATTACACTTAAAGTGGTCCAGATATAAGTAACTTAAAAAAGATTTAGTAAATGTTTTTGGTGTTGACTAAAACTTGACAGATTCACTGTTTAGAGTTCTAGCTCGTGTGTCATCACTAGTATGGCTTTATTCATGTCATACCGATGTGTATCGACAGATAACTATTGAATAATTGCATTGGGTAATTTTCCAATTTGTGATTATTGGATAATTTATCGAAGTTAATTGCAGCATATGTATACATTTTATTCGATATTTAGAGTGACCTTAATATCTGTTATTTCCATTTGAAATATTTAAAAGTAAATCCAATCTTTAATAAACAAAAAAGTAGTTTGCACATTCCTTAAATATTTAGCTAACGATCTCAGTCCGGTTTAGCAGTAATTAATTGCAATATTCTTTGTTAAGGAAGTGTCAAGTGTGACCAGCTGCATTGCTTTAGAATTGTTGTTAGCAAAACTTTCAAAATTGCTGCTGCTGCTGCGCTGTTGTTGCTGATGTTGTCCTTGTTGTCATTGCTGTTGCTGTTGTACTTGTACTTCCAAAGAACAACAATTGCATGTAATTAGCGCGTTACTAAAATACTTTTTATCCAGGTCGCCATGCTATGCACTTTTGTGGCAATGTTGTTTAACTTGTTGCTGCCTCGATTAGCTGCTGCAACAGCTGACAACGTCATCGACTTGAATGCGGCAGCAGCTCATCATGAGATGAGGTTGCAACTGTCGACACAGCTTGAATGATGAGCATTTGTCTTTTACTTTCTTGCCCAACGATTGTAATAATAATAGTGATAATAGTAATGCATTCACCGAGAGTTTAACCCGCTCTCGCTCTGAGTCATTCCCTCTCCTTCCGGCTGCCGTCTTTTATGACTTAACGCTTGACCTCGCCTCGCGTCACTTTGATGTGCTTTGACTTTGCTTGGGGTCAGCCCTGGGTTGATTGTCTTTGGGCTCCGCTCTGCACCCTAAGCACCAAGGCTTTGAACTTCACGCTGGGCTGGCACTTCTTTTTTTTTTTTATATTACCAACCGACATTAATATATAAAAATTAACTCGTGTAATTTGTAATTAAAACTTCAAGTTTGTCTTTATGACGTTCGCTGACCATAACATAAATATAAATTTAATGCTCTCATTTATGTGCGCTTCGCTTGTTGCAAGTGTCGTTTCGAGATAGTGTTGGTCTAGCATGAAGAGCCATAAAGGTAGTTCGGGTCGGAAGTGTCATGAATTTATTACGTCCTCAGTTAGACTGATTTTTACAACTTTACGATTAGCTCTACTATTTTTTTTGGGTAAAAACTCTTGAAGAACAATTCCCGTTTTTTTTTTAATGCAGTATTCTCTGGCATTAAAGGCATATTTTAAGAAAACATTTTAGGCCTAGTTAAAGAACTCAGTCGAATGAATGATTGTAATATGCATCTATAATTTATATAATTATAGAATATCTTGAGATTTCAGGCAAGATTTACTGTATATAGATAGTTGATATAGTGAATGAAATTTATGTGATGCCATGTCAATCTGGTCAAGCAAAGTAACTCTCATATATATAAAGTCGTTTACTATATTTACAGTGAACCCACGCAAGATGGGAACAATTGTTGGTTTGAGCTCGTGTCGCGCTGTATTGTAGGCGTTTTAGCAGTAGTTTATTTGCTATTGTTTCTATTATACACAAACTTGGCGACACAGCAACACAACTTTGTCATTGTTTTTGCTGTTGCTGAGGCTATGGCTGTTGTTTATTCAGAGGTTTGGCAAAGTTAATAGGCGTCTATTTTTGGTCACATCCAGAGGCCTCGACGTGCATTATGTTGTCGGAGCGCTGCTTTAGATGCGAGTCGTGTGTCGCTGTCGTTGTCGTTGTCGTCGTTGAGAGTTGGTGACAAAGTCAGTGACTTGACTGATTGCCAGGCATGGTTAATTGAAGGTTAATGGCGCCAAAAATGAGCATCGCGGGCTGCTTGGCATGCCACATGAGACCTGTCATAATAATACATTTATAATTAGTTGAAGTTGCACTGATGAAAACTTAAAGGAAAAACAGAAAGTCGTAGCTGTTGCTGTCTATAATAAATGAAACACAAGCGAAATACTCCGATACGTCATTGGAACCAACCGCAACCGCAAGACACAACTAGCAATGACAAGGCAGAAATGCGGTTACTCATTGCCATATTGATTATATTAAGATGCTGACAATGGCTTAGACATGAAATTGATAACCAAAACCTGAAATAAGCAACTGAAATCAACCGAACTCTGTCAGAAACGAGAGAGAGGATAGAGGAAATGATTTTTATATAAAAATGAAGAATATTGAATTTGCTGTGATTTAATTTGTGCACAAAATGTAATTCCCACATATAATTGCGGTAAAAGCTATATCAATATTATTATTAACTAAAGTAAAGAAAAGCTTATAAGCTGTGGTCTGCCTTGACAATCAAATGAAATCTTATGCACTTCAAACGGGTAAAATCTGTAGTAAACATTTTCAATATCAGGAATAACTATAGTGGAATGAATAGTATGTTTGATAAAATGCATACTTCTGTAAAGTATAATAATTATGTTGTTCTTATTGTAAACTATACACAGTACATAACTGACTTAACCTAATTTATTAACTAATATTAAGTGTGACTACTTCAGTTAGAGTCTAATCAAATCAAATCCAACGACAAGGGGAAGCTTCCATTGCCTATTAGACGAGTCATACAAGTATAGGCTTGATAGCTGTTGGAAAGATAGGGGGCACGTTTACCGCATGTATCGGGCGACATCAAGTGCTTCATAAAAGAAACATCAAAACGGCGATCAACGATCTATGGATCGATCGGACGAACGATGACGCTAATGAAAAGCTGTAAACACGCGAGCAGAAGCCAAACAACAGACGAAGCAACAGGCAAGCGGGGCAGGCCAGACCAGACCCGGCCAGGGCAGGCGAAAGAAGAAAAAGAAGAAGATGATCATGTGGATGAGAAACGTAATCAGACCGGAAATCGATCGGCACGTACAGCAAAGCAACAGACAAAGAAAGACGCAACAGATGAGAGACAGACAGAGAGAGCATAGAAAGAGAAAGAGAAGACACAGACAAGCGGGACAAACGAAGCAGTGAGGGAGAGGGAACTTTTCTGTAAATGATTAAAATGTACTCATTTCATCATGAGCTGGAGAAGAGAGCGTCAAATAAAAATTGGAATTGCATATTTGGCTCGTTGTTAAAGTAAACTGGATTGCACGCCAACTAACCAGTTACTTCCTTTGGCTCCAATTAGATTGGAGAGTAACCCTTCTTTTGATGTGACCAAAAGGAAGTGGTAAACGGAAAAGGAAGTTGTTCACAGGGCCCAGGGAAATGAACAGGCAGCTAAAATGTGCAACGATATTATGAATGCAACAAGAGGTATTAAGACCTATATCATAGATACACACACACAGTCACACACATCTGTTGGAGGGCGTACACCTTTGGCTCAAATCTGCATAAAGTGCAAGTAATCTCTGCTCGACAGGAAGCTGACGTTTAGACAAACGGCCAGAGACCCAGACGTCATCATCATCATCATCATCACCACATCAACATCGTTTGGTCTGTCTGTAAATCTCTCATCCGCTGACTCGGCAGGGCGAAAAAAAATATATATCCACTCTACATATATAGCGCGAGAGAATTTATCTCTATTTCCGTTTCTTTTGCATATAAATTTTGCTGCCTCTTTTTCTCCTTTTATACACCCTTCAAAAGGGGTATTATAATAGTATTTGCTTTTCCAATAAAAGCTTAATGTTAACTCTTATAGCTATAGGTAGGATATATTATAAGCTGCAAAGTAAAGCCTTATGAGGAATATTTATAGTTGCAATATTATATATGTATATCTACAGATATCTGGATATATATACGTATATAGTTTTTGAAAGAGTATTTCGTATTCACTTTGCCAATTTTCAGCTGCTCTCTGTCGTTTTTCTTTGTTTTTAGAATATCCGCAGACCGCACAACTTCTTTTTACCCCAGTCCAAAGTATCTCTCGTTTTTTTTTCCTTTTATGCACTGCTCTTGAAGTAATCGCCTCATTAATTCGCGGGCGTTTCACGCTGCACTGAATCAATTTGCATATTGTGCAAAAGGAAAAACAGAAAATGGAAAACACACACAGACAGATGTGGTGGACACGGATAGGCAGACAGCCAGAGGCGAGCAGGAAAAGCGTAGGAGAGTTGGCATCAAAATAAAATCTACTTACAAAGCCTTTAAATTTAATTTTCCTTTTGCCATTTCGGGGACCTGGAAATTGAAAGCATTTAATGAGTCTGTCGAAACACGAGGCGCGCCTTTTTGCGTTAACATATATATATAGCATACATATATACATATAGAGAGTCAGAGAGTGAGGGAGAGAGGGCTATTCCCATCTATGTTTAAAAAGCCGATTCTCTTGCTGCACGAATCGTGGCGTAATTTTCTGTGCGCCTGAATGACATTGACGGGGCACACTCCATGGGCAAATGTCAAAGTTGTTGTGGGCTTTCGTTTTCTTCCCCTTCATCATCGAGCACTCATTTGATGTCTATCTGTGTATGTGTGTATGTGTGTGTGTGTATGACTGGCCTTAGATGTTGCCACGTGGTACACGTGTAAAACGGGCGCTATTATTAGATGCCTCCATCAAGCCGAACCAATTTAGGGAAAAGTCCAAAAAATATTGCTTTAATCATATGAGCATATAAGCTGATTCATATTACAAAATATCATACATTATGCTAAGCACTTTGTAAGCTTTGTTATCAATGCGTAATTTAATTTTCAATTATCTCAAAACACTCGAGATGAAGAGCGAAGAGCTTCATCGTTCCCTGAGTAGTTCAAGTTCAATTTTGTGACCTAGCGCACATATTTTAGAGAATGTGTAGATGGGTATTTCCTAATTCATAGTTTGATTCTTGGTAATATGACAATAATTAGTAATTTGTTCTATATTCTCTATGCCATATCTTTGTAAAATGCAATACAGGAAAAGCTTCATTTCCGTTGGCTGGCATATGAAAGATGATATGATTTATAAACCGATTTCAAGGACGTATAATCGAACGGAAAGCAATTAATTTTCTAAATATGTGTGTATGTGCATGTGTGCATTCTCTAGAAATTCGTTATCTGTTTAACGCGCTACGTTGGGCCCATAGACTTTCCCTGCGATTAAATAAATTCGGTATAAAACCCAATTATAACGCTTAAATTTAGCCAATGGGGCAGTTCATTCAAATGGAATTTCACTATGTATATCTGCATATATTAGCAAGTGTGTATATTGTCATATAACAACGCCACACATTATATACAAACATAAACATAATGCAAGAGGAAGGAAGGAAAACATGCTTTTATTAATTTGGCATAAATAAAACGTCACGGCGCGCGCGTATTTGTAGACATAGTGTAAAAGCGTACAAAATTCGGCAGTTTGTTTGGCTGGCTGCGAGGAGCGTGGAATTCCCTCTGCCAACAAAAACAGCGGCGAAAAAATGTGAAAACGACACAAAACAACAAAAACAAACAGCAAAAGCAGCAGCAGTAGCGCGCGATGCCAATTCATGAATCATGAATGAATGAATGAAACTGTCTGTCTGTCGTGGTGCGGTTAGGAGAGCAAGTCAAAAAGAGACGGAGAGAGAGAGAGAGAGAGCTTGAGTAACGGCAAGCGGCATGAATAGCAACCGAACGGGAGGGATGAGCAAAGAGTAAAAGTATTTTTTTTTTTTTTTTTTGTCATTTGATTTGTATTTTATTTCATTTCATTCGTTGTCGCTGCTGCTTTCGTTTGTATTTTTGCATATAAAATCTGACTCTGTATTGTTTTTCTTGTAGCATTTACGTAGCCTCTGCCATTCATAAAACGAAACTTGGAATGCCAAGACGAAAAAGAAAAACAAAAACAAAATAAAAGCAATGACGACAACCATCGGCTTCATCGTCTTTTGTTATCAATCGTATTTGTTGGTGTTTTTGTTTTTCTTGCGAGTACAGAGTGAGCGCACGAGCGAGCGTAAAAAGCAGCGTTATTTTGTCACTAATACACAGGCAACCAGAGTACGCAAATATATAAGTGTGTGTTGTTATTGGTCTCTATGCCAAAAGAGACAGTCGCACACACACGCACTCACTTAGCTAGTTCACCTAGTCCAGCCCAGCCAGCTGTGTTAATAGGAAGGCCGCAGGGGCACCTTCTCCACTCGCCTCATGGAAAATCAAGAAGAAGAGTCGCACAACACAATATTTTTGCGCATTTGGCTTTGCCTTTGCATGCCTACATGCTGCCTAGCACGCACACACATGCATAAATATTCATCATACGCATTATATTTCCGCTCGACTGCCGCTGTTAATTTTTATGCTCTGCACAATGTCAAGAAAGGGTATATTCGCTTTTTGCATCAGACTGTTAAATTTATGTTATTACTAAAAATTTATTTTTATAAAAATGCCATAAATTAAAACGATCAAAAGTGTTAATTTCAAAGTAAAAATATTAAGTTAACAAGTCGAATGAAATGAATTATTTCTATTATTTTGACACTGCTAACAGAGTATAGCGCAATCGTTCGCAAGGTTTTCAATATTCATTGAGTATACTTTGCCAATGCCTTCCCGCTGGTCATTGCCTGATTAACTTGGCTTATCAAGGCAATAGCAGCAACAGCGAACTCTTATTATTAACTTTTAACACTCAAAAACAGGGACATGCCGTCTATACAAGCATCTGGCATTGTCTTTGCTGTTGTTGTTGCAGCTGTTGCTGCTTGTTTTCGCCCAGGTGGGGCTGCGCATCGATAATGCAATTTATCGACGCACAGGAAGTCACTTTGGCGTTGGCCTGCCCTTTGGCGGCATCAAAGTGAGCCGACAAAACGCTGTGCTAAAAAAGTTGTATTTTAACTGAAATGATTTGTTAAGTGAACGCATAATTAAGCAACTACTTGCAATGAGATTTTGCAATATTTTCCCTTAAGACGTTAATCGATGTTAGATATAATATGATTGAAGCCAAAGCTAATTTATTGCAATACGAAGCTTATAGAGCCGCTAGCATAATTGAGCAACTATTAATGTCGCAATGAGATTTTTCCATTGTTATTTGAAGATGTCAATCGTAATCTTATCGATGTTAGATATGATTGAAGCCAAAGCATATTTATTGCGATAGCTAGACAGGAAGCTGATTCACTTATCGTTAGGTTCAGTTCACGGAACAAGCGTGTTCATTTGAAGCTGGAGATAGAGTTTTTATTTAAAATATTATTTAATGCTTTAGAGTTTTTATACTCAATATATATTTTTGACTTGCAGGTGAAGCAAAAAACCTGAGCAGTCGGAATGCAGCGAACACTAGTTGCAGCACTCAGGGCACTCGAGATGTATACTGCACCATTGCCTTGGACCAGGAGGAAATATGCCGGACGCCCATCAGCGAACGCACCCTGTCGCCTTTTTTTGGCGAGGAGTATCAGTTCAAAATACCGCGACGCTTTCGCTATCTGTCGGTCTATGTGTGGGACCGGGACATGAAGCAGGACAAGCCCATTGGCAAAATAGCCATCAAACGGGAGGAGCTGCACAAGTACAATCACAAGGATCACTGGTTCTCGCTGCGCCCGGTCGACGCCGACTCGGAGGTGCAGGGCATGGTGCACATACAGGTGGCCTTCGAGGAAAGGCCACAGTTGCTCACAGAAAGCATCGAATTGGTCCAGCTACAGCAACACTCGCATCATCAGCGCGCCCATCTGAATGACTACAAGGAGAACAACGAACTGAGCAACATTCAACGAGCCGCAGCAGCGACAGCCGCGAGTGGCGTCAACTCTGCGGGCATGACACTCAAGACTCGGGCGGCAGGTCTCTTTGGACATGTGGCCCATCATCCGCAACATCAACAGCAGCTGCAGGCGCATCTGGCCACATCCTCCACGGATCAGCTGGCCAACTGGAAGAACACGCATTCCAGCAATGTGCGCGTGGCGATTCGTGTGCCGGCGTGCATAGACCTGGCCAAGAAGCAGGGCACCTGTGATCCGTTCGTCATCTGCACGGCCTACTACAGCAATAAGCAGGTGATCACGAAACGTACAAAGCAACGCAAGAAGACCGTCGATCCCGAATTCGACGAGGTCATGTACTTCGATCTCTCCATTGACTCCGAGGCGGGCAGCACGGGCACAACGAATAGCAACAAGTCTGCTGCGTCGCTGGAATCGTCCGCCAATAAGGCGTACGCGATTTACCCACTGGGCGGTGCCGATCTCTGCGAGATTGCTGTCACGCTGTGGCATGACGCCCATGGCGCCATGGCCGATAAGGTGTTCCTTGGCGAGGTGCGCCTCCCGATGCTGAACAATCAACAGCAGCAGGCGGTGCAGCCCTCTGCTTGGTACTATCTGCAACCACGCACCACATCCAGCAGTTGCCGTTCCCTGAGTGCCACTCCCCGTTCCTGCGCCACGCCGCCTGGCACGCGACTCAGCGTGGATTCAACCATTGGATCGTTGCGCCTGAACCTAAACTACACAGCAGATCATGTGTTTCCACTTGCCACGTACGATGACTTGCTTAACTTGCTCCTGGAGTCGGTGGATCAGCGGCCCATCACACTGTCCTCGGTCTACATTCTCGGCGAGCTGGTGTCGGGCAAGACGGAGGTGGCCCAGCCCCTGGTGCGCCTCTTCACACACACGGAGCGCATTGCGCCCATTATCAAGGCCTTGGCCGATCATGAAATTTCGAATCTGACCGATCCCACGACCATTTTCCGTGGCAACACACTCGTCTCCAAGATGATGGATGAGGCCATGAGGCTATCGGGTCTTCACTATCTGCACCAGACGCTACGTCCGGTGCTGTCGCAAATTGTGGCCGAGAAGAAACCATGCGAAATCGATCCCAGCAAGGTGAAGGATCGCTCGGCTGTTGACACCAATCTGCACAATCTCAAGGATTATGTGGAGCGTGTATTCGAGGCTATCACTAAGAGTGCAGAGCGTTGTCCCAAGGTCCTCTGTCAGATCTTTCACGATCTGCGCGAATGCGCAGGCAAACATTTCCCACGCAATCGCGAGGTGCGCTACTCGGTGGTCTCTGGCTTCATATTTCTGAGATTCTTTGCGCCCGCCATACTGGGCCCCAAGCTGTTTGACCTGACCACAGAGCGACTGGTAAGCAAAGAATTTGACAACTGGTTGATATTCCTGATCTAATTCCGCCCATTTTCTCTCTGCAGGATGCCCAAACAAATCGCACGCTGACACTCATCTCCAAGACGATACAGTCGCTGGGCAATTTGGTCAGTTCACGATCGTCGCAGCAACCCTGCAAGGAGGAGTACACTGGGGAGCTGTACAAGAAGTTCTGCACAGAAAAGCACGTCGATGCGGTCAAGCACTTTCTCGAGGTTATCTCCACGCCAAACGCCTGTGACACGCCCAGCAAGCAGTTGCAATCAATGCCACAGTTGCCATTAGAACCAGTATTACTAAAGGAGGGGTAAGTTTGATTTGAAATTGATTAATTAAATACACATGTATGCATACTGGAAAACAATTGATAGTTTTCCAATGGATTGCAATATCTTGCTATCGATAGTTTTCCATCCTTGCCATTGCTCTCAGTGCAAACATATCTCAAAGTTTTGTATACACCACATTTGGTTGATTATGCTTTATTTTATTCTAATACCAAAACTTTCTTTGTCTTTCTCTTCTTTTACGCGCGTGCTGCTTTATAAAAAAAAAAAATAAAATAAAATAAACAACAACAACCCATATCATCACATCACGCCCAACAAATTCCCATCACCACACATCACACATCCACAACAAAAAACACACACACATACGCACATACATCTAAACCATTTGCACATACAAATAAAAAAATACTAACGTCTAGCGAGGGGTAAGAGAAAATTTGCTTTTAATTTTGGAACTATTAAAAATTCTGTTTTGTTGTTTGTTACATTTATATTGCAAACAAAAAAAAAACTAACAACTAAACATTAAATGCATAGCATTTGCTCATTTGTTTTCGTTCTCTTTCTTTCTCTCCTTGCTACTTATTTATATGTGTGTGTCGTGTCTCGCCGTCCGTCTCTCTATCCATCTGGGCGCACAGCATGATGACCAAATATCCGACAAGCCGCAAACGCTTTGGAAGCCAATTTAAGCAACGTTACTTTCGCCTGACAACGCACTCGCTGAGCTATGCCAAGTCGAAGGGCAAACGACCCATCTGTGATATACCGCTTGAGGAAATCGGAAGCGTGGAGCAATTGAAAGACAAGAGCTTCAAAATGCAAAACTGCTTCAAGGTGAGTTGCAACTGCGGATCAGACTTTATCGATAACTATCGGCTAATTTGAATTTGAGTGGGACACGCCTCGTTGCAGTTGGCGGCATGAGGTGGGAAATTCAGACATGCATATACAGTGAACAGCTTCGATCTTAGACACTCTTTTTTCTTGCCGTGTGGACATAGTTCATGCATAGCTAATATACCCAATTGCATGTAAGACAATAATACCGGAAATGCACAATTCTACAAATGAATTTTTATAAATAAATTAGGTGCAGGCAGCCCACACATGCTCAGCGCGCTAGTTTCGTTGCAGTATGAGTGTGTGTGTGTGCAGCAAGGTTGCCATATGTCTTACATATGTATGTATGGGCCACAACTATCAATACGATGAGAAACTCAATCTTTTAATTACATGTTCGTTTTTTTTTTTTTATATTAGATATGTTTTTTTTCATTAAAATCTAATCAAAAAGTATATAATTTAAAAACAATTTGATTAATATCATGCGCAGAAATTAGTTGTAATTGCAAAGGGCAGCAGTAAAAGTAAGCTTCGCACAAACTTTCACTTGTCGTTTGAATTTCCATCTAGACGCGTTGCGTCCATGCAAATGGCAAGCGCGCAATTAAAAATAATTAACATTATTATGAAAATGAGTTGGCAACATTTCCACACTTCTGCAATTCCCTCTCCGGCTACGGCCAACTATAGTTTCCAACACCAACTCGAACTCCGACTCAACCGCGCCATTGTTAGTCTTCTGCTTCGCCTTTTCATTTGTGTTTTGCGGCGACAAAAAGGGAAATTTCCAAACGCTTCAAGAAGTCGAGGGCGCGCTTGAAAGCAAAGAATTCGGTTACGTTGGAGGAGGCACGCGTGGGACTTTTGGCCGTGTGAAACGACAATTGCGACGGTTTCACTATGGCATTTATATAGGCTGAAAGTGAAAAGAACGCATATAATAATTTGAAAACATGTTCACATCTTCCATTCCACAGATCGTGCACAAAGACCGCCCGCTTATTGTACAAACGACGAACTGCGTGGAGGAGCGCGAGTGGTTCGACCTACTGCACAAGATCTGCCTAATGAACTCCATCCGGATGCAATACTTTCATCCCTCGGCATTTATCAGTGGCTACTACAGCTGCTGCGGGCGCTCCGACGAAAATGCACCGGGCTGCAAGAACGTGTCCGCCAAGGAGATGGACTACTTCCAAATGGACTTGGTCACCGCACTCGATCCGGCACTGGATCTGCAGCGCATACACACGCTCATCATGTCCAATATGAATCTGCTGGACGCGCTGCTCGACCCGCTCGCCTACCACCAGCACCTGTCCATGCCCCTGCCACAGCACAGCCAGCAGCAACAGCAGCAGCAGAACAATCCGCTGGTCCCGCTGGCCAGCGCTCTGCAGCAACAGTCGCCGCAGGCATTTGTCGAGTTCAAAAAGACGATCGAGAAGCTGCGCGACAAGGCCTACGCGATCGATAGGGATCATCGGGACTACAAGCAGGACATCACACGGCAGCTGAAGTACGGCAGTCGGCAGGCTCCGATCGGCGATGACAACTACTGGCACATGATGCGCGCCGCTGGCCAATTGAATCTGCAGCATCATCACCAGCAGCAGCACCAGCAGCAACAACAACAGCAGCAGCAACAGCAACAACTGCAGCCTGTGCTGCCGCAGATGCAACATGTGCGCGCTCTCCCAGCGACAACGAACAGCAGCAACAGCAACATTAATGTGAACGCCTACTTTATGCACAATCTGCAGCACCAGCATCAGCGATTGCAGCTCCACCAGCAGCAGCACCAACAGCACCAACATCAACAGCAACAACAACTGCAATATCAGCAGCAACTGCGCAACCAGCGACACAATAACAACAATAACATAAACAACAATAGCTGTGGCAACGCTTCGTCGTCGAGCCCATCGTCGACAGCGTCAAGTGTTGTGGCAGCCCCGCCCAGCAGTGTAGCGAACGCCCCCGTTGCAGTGGCAGCAACAGCTGCGGTGCTGCCAAAGCCAGCGCCGCCGATTTATTAGCGTTCAAGATTATGCGTATTTGCCATACCCAGAGCGATAATATTGACTCGGTGAATGCGCATAATTGTTCTACTATTGCCCCCACACCCCACTCCCCCTGCACAAACACACCCACACACATATTCACAATCACACACACACACACACACATAAAGCTACTTCGAAACACTTCCAGCAGCAACAGATGCGTTAAGCGTGTGCTTATTTTAAACTATATTTTTTTTGTACGAATTACAAGTTTAAAGTGTGTAGATCTAAGATTTTTTAATTAACTATTTTTATACACATTTATATACTATGGAGTAACAAACAAGCTAAATGTTTAAGCCTATTTATTATTCTTTTGTATTTATACAACACCCACACACACAAATTTTTCTACTTTGATTTTGTGTAGCCGAAATATCCATGCAAAGAAAAACTGATAACTATGTAAGCTGCTAGCAACTGAAACAAAAACAAAAACAAACCAACTCCAAAATTGCTAAGAATTTTTAATTGCTAACTACTCGTAAGTTGTGTAATAAGTTCAAAAACTTGAGTAATATATATTTAGAAGAAAACGTTGTATATAGCAAAAAGCAAAACGAAAGCGAAGCCTAAACATACTTTAGCTCTATACTATAGATACATATATATATTTATATATGCATATATAATACATATACCAGTTATGCTAGGCGTAGACAAATTGCAACTATCTAAATTAGTTAGATACTTAAGATTGGTCTAGGCAACACCCACACATACACTTAACTCACATTCAAGAGAAATTAATTGTAGCAAATTGTGAAAGCGAATTCTACAGACACATACATGCAAACATATGTACATTTACATATACTTACACATTACACATATATACATTTACATATATATATTTATCTGTCATACAGCTAATATTATACATATATACTTAGGTATATGTATTTGAAGCTCTGGCACACAAAGCAAAAACCAAGCGTTGTTAAGAACAAATTTACTTCCATTTTACATACACATACATATTTATTGAATGCATTTAATTTCTCATGTTAAATTTAAACGAAACAAAAACAAAAAGTAAAAAATGTAAATTGTTAATGCAAAATTATGTTTGTTAGCTTATTAACTTACTTCCACCGATTTGTTTCCAAAGCTCTTCCAATATTGCATAATCGTTATATTTAATAATACATAATTACATTACGTACATAATTTTTTTTGTCAATTGCCATATTTAGAATTGTTTTCAATTTCTGCATTGCATAAATGTCTTCCTCTTCACAAACTTTTCGTTTTGTTTATGCATTCCAATCTCTTTGTGCATTTCTTTGTTCTACTGTTGCATAATGTAAATATTCACATACAAAAACTAAGCATACGACATTTATTAAATCTAAACAAAATTTAAAACCAGAAAACATTTTTTTTTTTTTTTGCTAAATAATTCATTTGCACTTCGATTCATAATTTTGTTATAAGTGCTTAATTTTAGTATAATTTTATTTACTTATACTACGTAGCTTAAGTTGTTGGTACAAAGAATCGAAAATCATATGTTTTAGCGAGAAAATAAAGCGTATCGCCAATGATTATGTTTTGTTTTTATTATCATTGCTATTATTTTTTAGATTACTTTATTTAGATGCTTTATTTATAACCTCATTCTCGTGCTTTAGGAAATTTTTGGCATCCTGTTGTGATATCTTATACGAAAAGAAACAAAAATAAAAATATAGAGAACACACATCTATTAACTGTGTGTTAGTTGGTTGATGAGTATATTTGCAATACATTTATTGTACGTTAAAGCTGTTAAGTATTTACATATATATTCGTATTGTGACAATTAACAGAAAAGCAATTTTTTTCGAAAACTACAAAGAACACACGCGTACTCGCAAAAATACATACACAAATGTAGTTATATTTTCTATTATGTTTGATAATTAAATTCACACCATCATAATCCGAAGGATACAAAACGGAAACAAATGAAAATCCCTAACTTATAAGCCTGAAAGACAAATACTGACGAGTGTTGTGCTTGGTTTCAATACCATGGAACAGACAAAAAACGGATAACTTCCCTATTTTTTGTAAGCAAACCTTTTGAAATTAACTTTTACGTATAAATAAATATTTATATAAATATACAGCCTGATGACTCGTATTTTAATACCGATAGTTTTCCATTTGAATTGCGCGCGCATGAGTGCTGCGCTGGTATGTATTTTTCTTAGTGCCGTCCCCTGCACGAAAATACTTCTGCTTGAGGTTTATTCGCGATGTGTTCGCGTTGCGTAGTGAATGGCTGCACACCGTTATCGCTTGGAAAATGTACAAAAATACTATTTTAGCATAAAATAATAATTTAGAATAAATATTAAATGCTAATGTGTGTGTGTGCCGAGTATTTACATTTGCGCAGCAACCGAATAATGAAAGCATAGCCTTCTATCCTACTGTAACACCCACACTGCTGTTGCTGGCTCAGCAGAGTAAAAATAATAAAAGGCGGGTAGCGGAAGAAGAAGCAATCAAGTGGCAGCAACGATAACAAAAACAACAGCAGCAGCCAGCAGCCGCTGCGGCAGCTCCGCAGGCAAAATGCAGAAAGTTAATTAGCGTGAACAGAATCACCGCTCCGTGGGTGGTCAGTCGCAATTTGTGTGTGTGCGCGCGTGTAGGTCAAGAAGGGTGGGCGCCTGGATGACATGGAGTTCGCTGATCTGATAAAAACACCCAAATTGGATGGGGTATTCCTGCATACCAATGCAACAAATGCAACAGTTGAAGGCACCCTGTGCATAACGGGTCACCATTTACTGCTCAGCGCACGCCAGGAGAGCACACAGGAGCTATGGGTGAGCATCCAGTGAAGCGAATAATTGCTTTTTGCTAGTTAACGGTTAATTGAATTATTGTGTGCATTTTCCAGCTGCTGCACAAGAACATCGATTGCGTGGAAAAGAAGCCGAGCATGGGCCAGAACATTGTCATGGGCGGCATCATAACACTAAAGTGCAAGGATTTGAGAATTATATCTCTCGAGATCAAGTACGCCAAAGACTTCTTCAACGTGGCCGCCTCCTTGGAGGCGCTCAGTGCAATACAGAACGTGGAGCTGGAGTATCCATTCTTCTACAGACCCATGTACTCAATACTGGAGGATGGCTTCACCATGTTTAGGTTCGTTCTAATATAATTATTAAATTACGCATAATAACTGTCTTTATCGCAGGCCTGAGCTGGAATTTGCACATCTTATCAGCGGCATGAGCATGGGCGGAGCCTCGTCACCAAATGTGGCAAACATAACAATTTGCACGCCCTCCACATCGTCTGTTGGCATGGGCCATAGCAGCATACCCCATCCGCTGCAAAATGGATTCGCATTGGACGCGGCGACTGCGTTAGTGGGCAGCTGTAGCGGAAGCGGCAACTTTGTGTCGGCCTGCGAGTGGCGAATCAGCCACGTAAATAGTGACTTTAGCGTCTGTCCCACATATGGCGCCACACTGATTGTACCTAAAGCAATTAGCGATGAACAAATCGCACTCTCCGCTGCATTTCGAGATGGCGGACGTTTCCCATTGCTCAGCTACAGGCATGAGAACGGCGTCAGTTTAATTAGATTGTTGATTTGTTTAAGGACATAATTGAATTAACCTATTTCCCGCACACAGGCCATACTGATGCGCAGCTCACAGCCGTTGTCCATACAGGGTATCAAGCGCTGTCGCGCCGACGAGGCGATACTCAACCTTGTGCTGGGACGCAGTAAAAAGGGCTTCATTGTCGACACGTGGGGCAAGGGCAAGTCGAACACGGAAACTGATCTGCACTACTCGCAGTGGAAGAAGGTGAATCGCGCAATCGGCAATGTCACCTCACCCGCCTCCATTCTGGACAGCTTTGCTAAACTGATTGAAGCCTGCAACGATATTGGATGCAGTACAGACAAGTGGCTGTCGCGTTTGGAGAACAGTGGCTGGCTAAGCCTGGTGCTCAATTCGTTGAATGCTTCGTGTGTGGTGGCCCAGTGCTTGGATCAGGAGGGCAGTCCAGTGCTGGTGCATGGCGCCAAGGGTCTGGACTCCACCCTGATTGTCACGTCGTTGGTGCAAATCATCTTGAATCCAGACTGCCGAACTGTGCGCGGGTTAGCTATGTCCTGTCTTATTTTGTATATTATAACTACAATTATTGATGCATTGCAGCTTGCAAGCACTGATTGAACGTGAGTGGATACAGGCGGGTCATCCTTTCGCCGCGCGACATCGCTACTCCTGCTACACTCCACATCAGTTGAGGAACAAGAACTCGGGCGCCACCTTTGTTCTCTTTCTGGATTGCATATTTCAGCTGTTTACACAGTTTCCGTGCAGCTTTGAGTTCAGCACGCAGCTTCTTATATTACTCTTCGAGCACAGTTACTTCTCGCAGTATGGCACCTTCTTATGCAACTCGGAGCGCGAGCGACACGAGCTGCAGGTGCACACAAGAACCACCAGCTTGTGGTCGTACCTTAATCGGCCAGATGTGCTGCAAACCTTACTTAATCCCCTGTATGAGCCGAATTCCAGCGTGATTTGGCCCTCTGTGGCGCCCATTAGTTTGGAACTGTGGAGCGGTGAGTCTTTGCATATTATTTCCATTGAATTATTCACTCACATTTATTTTGTCTTCTTTATTTGAAGAACTCTATTTGCGCTGGGTGATTGATCAAGGCAATTTAGCAACTACCATGACACAAATACAGGAGCTGATAACAAGCGAAAAAGAGCTGAGAACCCAGGTGAAAACTGTGACTTTAAAGTTATACATTTGAATTTAATAAAACAATTTCTTATAATTCGATTAGGCATTCAAGCTGCGCAAACAGGCTGTGGAACTATGTCAGGAAGTTGCGGCACAAATACATGATCTGGATAATGCATGAGTGGGTTATCTACCTCACTGCGCAGTTATCTCTGTGTCTCTCTAACCATATTTTATATACTATATATATATATATATAACATACATATATACACTTATTTTTGATACTTTCTGTAGCCATTTTGAATCAATTGTTTAAGCAACTTTTATTTTGTATGAAAGTTCAACACTAATGACTAAGTCTCGAAAAGTTCCATTTAAAAACATTGCTGAAACAAACCCAAGAATCAAAGAAAAGAAAAAAAAGATCTGATTTTCGATCAAAACAGAGTGTCCGAACATTTTTTCCTAAATGTCCATTGTAATCTATTGAAACGACAGTCTCATCTGTTAATCTGAAGCGCTCTCTCTCGATGTAATTAACAAGCGATCTCCCTCCTCTGTGTACTTTAACAAAGCTCTCTTGAAACTAACTTGCACATAAGATTATCAAATGTCTAACAATTTGAGTCAATTTTTGACGCATTTACATGTATGGAATTTTTAGTAAAATAAGTCTTCAAATTTACAATTATTACTTAACGATAAACACAAAACTTCGCTAAGCAGCTGATCAAATGTAAAATTGTTCAATTTAAAAAATTTGCCTTTTTCGAAAAGTTGGTATTTTGTAAATTTTGATTGAATCGCGTACATTTATTGCTTTTAAAGCGTTCATAAAAGAAGAGAGTAATATATACATAAATATATATTAATAACGTCAAAATCTAGCTTATACTGTCTCTCCCTATTTTCATGTGTTAATATAAATGTTTGTAGTTAGTATGGTAAAAATATTGTATGTTTCTTTCGAATTGTGATCGTATTTGAAATCATAGAAATTCTTATGTAATTGATATGAAAATATTTATATATATCTATTGTGCGTATTTTGAGTGTACTATGCTAATTAACAATTAAGTGCAATAAATGCGTATTATTTTGCCAACTCATCTATTTAGTAAATGCAATCTATTCAAACACCTGGCAAAACACCTTGCAACACTGCTGCCACCTGTTGCACTTGAAGTCTCAGGTTTGGCATCAACAAATGAAACGCAGTTTAATTGCCGTTTTCTAAAAAGTAAATTAATTTATTTTGACTATACAAAATTGTTTCTTTCCTATTGTATTTGTATTTGTTTTATATATAGTTTATTTTCGGTGTTTGTAAAAAAACTCACTTTAAAGAACTCTTAATATGCTCGATTGTTTGTAATTCTGCACAAAAAATAACGAAAATCATGTTTGAAGATGTGTTCATTGTTAAAAAATGCAATAAAAAGATAAAGTGACTTTTAAAGAGAAAAACGCGATTAGCTTGTACAGTAAAACGAATAAACCCGAGTTCTCAAACAAAGCTGACGGCAATCAATTCTGTACACAATTACGCAGCCTCATCTTCCAGGAAGAAGAACTGTCCAGAGCGTTTCTGTTCCGTATCCTTGACCGAGTTATTCTTATTGATGCGCGGCCTGAAGTTGTTGGGATCTCGTCGGAAAGTAATGCCCAACAGCTCAAGGAATCGATTCATGCCATTGAGCAGAGATTGGGGCGAGTACGCAGTGGTCTTCACCGAGGGCTGACCCTCAATAACAATGACACGATCCGCCAGGTATGTCGCCATAATGAAATCGTGCTCCACTACAAAGCCAGTCTTCTTGGCATGCAGAATGTAACTGTAAATTAAAAAACCGTCATGAAATAAATTTGAATTGAATTAAGAAGTAAACTACTTACCGCTTTATCACTTTGGCGGCGACCAAACGTTGCTCAGAATCCAGATATGCAGAGGGTTCGTCGATAAGGTATACATCAGCTGGCTTGCCCAAGCAGAGCACCAGGGCTACACGCTGCAATTCACCACCAGAGAGGTTCTGTACCTCCTGGTCCATGATCTCTTCGATCTTCATGGGTTTCATGACATCCGCAATGAACTGCGGATGCACGTAGGCATCGCGAATCTTCTCGTGCAGCAGATGACGCACATGATTTTGGAACTTGGGTGAAATCTTTTGCGGCTTGTACGAAATGTTCAGCATTGGCAGCTCTACTTCACCATCCGGCTGCAGATTGCCAGCGAGCATGCGAATAAACGTTGTCTTGCCCGTTCCGTTCTCACCAAGCAGCACCAGGATTTCCGAGTCACTGAAATGACCCTTCTCTATGGTCAACTCGAATTTGCCCAATGTTTTAACCATCGAGGGGTAAACGTAATGATTCATGCGTTTGATCTCCTCCTCCGTGGCCGACTCGGATACCTTGAAAGTAAGCGACTCCGTACGGAAACGCATGTTCTCCGTTGGCACAAAACCGTCCAGAAAGATGTTGATACCTTCACGCACCGAGAAAGGCATAGTCACAACACCATAGCAGCCGGGCACACCATACAGGCAACAGATGAAATCTGACAGATAATCCAGCACAGATAAATCGTGCTCCACAACGATTATGAACCTGTTGAAAAAGTAATACGTTAGCATGGTAAATATGGACTTGCAAATCATTTATATACTTGGTAGGATGCAGCAACGATCGAACAGTCAAGGCAGCATTCAGACGCTGCTTAACATCCAGATAAGAGGACGGCTCGTCAAACATGAAAATGTCAGCATTCTGTATGCACACCATCGCAATAGCAAATCGTTGAAGCTCTCCACCAGAAAGTTGCGCAATTTCTCTATCGCGAATGTGGGACAGATCCAACATGTCGCAAATCTTCGTTTGCAGATCTCGTTCATCCTTTTTATCGAGCAGGTCACCAACAGTGCCACGAACTGCTTTTGGAATCTGATCCACATACTGAGGCTTGACCAGGGCTTTAAGGTTGTCTTCGAGGATCTTAGTGAAATAGTTCTGCAGCTCGGAGCCTCGGAAGTAGGCCAGGATTTCCGTCCAGTCCGGTGGGTTCGCATATTTTCCCAAGTTCGGCTTCTGCTTACCAGCAAGAATTTTCAGCGCTGTCGACTTGCCTATACCATTTTGGCCAACCAAGCCGAGGACTTCACCAGGTCTTGGGATGGGCAGGCGATGTAGCTTGAACGAGTTTTTACTATACCGATGCGTTGTGTGCTTATCCAAATTGCTGGGCAAGTTGATGATTGTAATGGCCTCAAACGGACATTTCTGTAAAGGAATTCGATTAACAGCTGTTGGGCAAGTAGTTGCGAAGAGAATGCATACCTTGACACAGATACCGCATCCGATGCACAGCTCCTCGGAAAGTGATGCTATCTTCGACGTGGGCGTCACTTCAATGCACAGTTTGCCCATGCGTACCACCGGACAGGACTTCTTGCACTCCTGCCGACAACGCTTCGGCTTGCACTTGTCATCGCTGACGATGGCAATACGCGTCTGCTTGTCCGTTTCCTCGTTTTCTTTCCTGCGCGACATGCTGGTGGAAGCGAAATGTGATTTGAATTATTAATATTCCAAATATCATTCAGCTCCGCGCATTGGGCACTGTCAACGTTGCAAATGTCAAAAGCAGCCGTCAAAACAAAACTAGTGCAATGCGGGAAGGGGCGACGGACAGGGCAATCAAGTTGCGTGCAGTGAAAGTATAACCTCAAAACAAATGCTTTATAGCAAAATATCGAATGAGCTGTGGCACTTGCCGCGATTTCCAATGTGCCGTAATTATGTTTATACACAAATTTACTTGTAATTTACCTGCGAACTTGTCTGAAATTTATTTTAAACAAGCAGAACGTCAACGCACGCTCTTGCGTTGTCAGCCAACAAGTTTCAAAGGGAGTGCACGATAGTGATTGCTAATGGTGGGTAAGCTCCAAGAACACCGATAACATCGATATATGCAGGTGTAGATAATTTTTGCAATTGAAAATAAGCACCCAATAAATAACTGTTTCTTTAAAAAATATAATGTAACTGTTTTAACAAATAACTAACACAATCAAATTTAACAATCACTTGGTTACGGCTGAAATAAATGAAAAAACTTGTGATGTAAAATATCGATACTTTTATTTCATTGAGTTCCACCACCGGAATGGAAAACAATGATGACGTTTACGTTTGACGACCCGACCGTCGTGCATTCGTATATTTCTTAAACATCCGTGAATATTTACACGTTGTAGGTGTATTGTTGGCATTAAAATAATAATAATGGTTGTTGAGGAACCAAGTCCAAATAATGCAGAAGCTGTGGAGAAAAGTGACAGCAGCACTCTGGTGCCAGAACCAGTGAAAATCTTCACAGTTGAAAGTGAGTCTAAGTACCCCACCACGGGAGCTGCTGACAATTAACCTAAAAATGTGTGGAAATTGAAAACAATATTTTTTTTGGTGCAATTATTGCAGTCCTGCACATGATCAAGGATGCCCAGCAACAACATGGTCTCCGACACGGCGATTATCAACGATATCGTGGCTACTGCACACGCCGCATTCGACGTCTGCGCAAGGCTTTGAAGTATCCCCAGGGCGACAAGCGTCACTTTAAGCGTCGCGATGTAACACTATCCCAACTGACGGGGAAAAAGGCGGACGAGCGATTCATACACATACCGCTAATAAGTGCGGAGCGTGCCTGGGCCTATGCTATGCAGCTGAAACAAGAGGCCAACACGGAGCCGCGAAAGCGCTTTCATTTGATAAACAAGCTGCGTCGCGCCTGTTTCTACGCTCTTCAATTACAGGAGCTGTGCAATGTTAGTAAATTGGCTACTTGGTGATATTACATTATAATAAACATTTATATTTATACCACAGACGGAAGCGTTCGATGCGCGCACGAAGCTTGAGTGCGAGGCATATGTGGCCTGGATGCATGGTACATTGCACTTTGAACTGCAGCTGTGGAAGTCGGCTGGTGAGCACTTAAAGCGGGCCCAGGTGGTGTACGAGAACCTGGCGAAAGCTCTGCCCGACGACGATCAGGAGTTGTATCGTGCCAAGGTGAATGAGTTTACTCCGAACTTGCGCTATTGTGCGTATAACATTAGCGGTGGTGCCAGCGGCGGCAAGATCGATGAAATCCTAGAACTGCGGGCTCAGGGCGTGTTGGAGAACTTGGATGTGCTGGTTAGTCAAACGAAATCGGAGAGCAGCGAGGGACTCCAGACGATCGATTGGCGTGGCCGCAAGGTCACCGTTCGTCCCGAAAAGGTACGCCTATTCTTGCTTAGCGCCCAGGAGCTGGACAAGGCACTGGCCAAGACAACGAAACAGGATGCCAAGATTGAGCTGATTGAACGCATATTGATGGATTGCAAGGATGCCATACAGGCAGTGCGGGATGAGATTAAACAGGATCCCAAGCTACGCTCTCTGACCACAGGTCAAACTGTTTCGGGCGTGCAATACTTGCTGGCATATTTGAGCTACATACGCCACAGCCGCACTCTGCAGCGCAATTTGTGCTTGGTTGATCAGGTAATTATCCACAGTCAGCTCTGGTGTCGATCACTTTCAAATAAGTTAATAAATTCATTTACCCAGGCCAAGCTGAACTTCGATGATCCCAATCAGCAGCAAGGGCAAGCTCAAACCGAGGGCAAACGCGTACGCCCGCAGGATTTGGCACGTCTGTACGAGATCATCTTGCAGAATGTTACCGAAATGCAGCAAATCAGCGGCATGGAGGAGGATACTCAGTATCAGAGCGAGGTTGCCAACCTGGCGCTTACGTTTAAGGCCTTCCGCTGCTATTACATTGCGCTCACTCTGATCGATATGAAAAAGTGGAAGGAGGCAGTGGCGCTGTACGAGCGTGCGTCCAACTACGCCAACGATGCGCTCAAGGGCAAATCCTGCGCTGAATTTGATTTGCAATCGGAGCTCAAGAAAATTGTTGCCTCAATCGATGGCAGCAAGTTTTCGGCTCTTGCATATAGCGTGCTGGAAGATGACAACAGCGAGGATGCGAGTGGCGTCTCCACCAAATCGCAGAAGACAACGAAGCCGCTGTACGAACGTCTCTCGCAATATAAAGAGGATCAGTCGCTGCACACCCGGTCGCCTAATGTGTTCAAACTGACGCCCGACATGGAGCCCATACCCTGCAAGCCCCTGTTCTTCGATCTGGCCATGAACTACTTGGAACTACCATCCCTGGAGGATAAGCTCGAATCGCCCGGAAAGAAGGGTGCCTCCATCACGGGCTTTGTGAAGGGCTTCCTTGGCTGGGGCGGAGGTGGCAATAAGTGAGACAGTGGCTCGTTTGAGTAATCAAAAGTCTACGCCCCCCTGCTGAAATTCCATGTTTGCTTTTATAGGAACGTCCAACAAACTTGTGCGCTCATCTGTTTTTTTCTTTTAGATCATGGCTTTTTTATTATAATTACCAACGACCAGCCAACACAGAACACTTATCAACAAAATTCGTTTAAGCTACAATAGTGAGGAATCATTGGTAATAAAGGAAGCAACAAATGCTGCAATTGTCAATTGTTATAACGGGATTTCCGTTGACCAACTGCATCGCACTGAGATAACAGTAACAAAGTGGAGGGATATTGCTTGTGTTTATTGAGATGAAAACAACTTGGCTCAAAGGGTTTAATAACTACTAGTGGTGCACCTAATCACACGCCCAGGTAGCCGTGCTCGTAGAACTCCAGGGCCAAATCTCTGATACGCAGATGATACTCGGGCGTCAGCTTCTGCGTACAGTTAATCTCTTTTCCATTCAGGTTCAGCTCACTTATCACATCCAGGTCGGGTATATTGTTGGGATCAAAGGTGACGGCAGGCAGTATCCACATGGAAATGGCCAATCCGTAGTGCACATGACGCACATAGTCCTCGCTGAGGCGTTGCAAGGAGAAGATTTCACAGAGTTCAGCCAGCTGGTTGGCTGCCGGCGTATGACGCAGCTGCTGGCCCAGCTCCTTGCGCAGCGCCTCTGCGTAGGCAGCTAGCAATGTGTCCGTGTGCACGTCGCGCAGCTGGCGGTGCGTGCTGGTGTATATGAAGTGCAATAGATCAAACACGGGCGAGGTGCGTCGCATGGCTTGCAGATCGAAGAAGATGACCTCCTCGGGCTGTGAGCGAAACATTAGATTGTTCAGCCAGAGGTCGCCGTGGCAGATCACGCTGAGCGGCGTTGCGGCTGCCGCATTGATGCTCTGATGCAGCTGGCCGAACAACTTCGGCTGCAGCTGCTCGATGAGGCGTATGGGCGCCGAGAGATAGCCATCTGCATTCGACGCATTCAGGCTGTCCAGCGCCTGCTGCACCGATGTGTCCAGTATACGCGAATAGAAGTCGGCGGCATCCGGACAGTAGACAATCTCGCTCATGTGCGCGCACTGCTCAGCGAAGTGGGCAGATTCCAGATGCTGTGCGGCCAGCGAAGCTGCGTGCAACTGCGCCAGTTTCTGCAAAATTATGGATGTAAATTGGGCGATGTCGAGGTATGCTTGTTGCTTACCTTCATCACGAGCAGGCAGTGCCGCAAGTCGAGACCGGCCAAGCGGTTCATCATGCGGAAGCCCAGCGCCTTGAGGTCCTGCAGCACGATAATGGGCTCGCCACTCGGACTTCCATCTGTATGGGATGCAATGTGGCACTGCGGAAACAGAGGCTGCTGGCTGTAGCGGCAGAGCAGCGGCACCACATGCTGATACACGTTGATCTCGTTTGTGAACGCCTCGCCGCAACGGTAAAGCTGCCGACGCGAGATGCTCGCAATCTGACGCTTGATGATGACTGAGCAGCTGGCAGTTGCAGTCGCGCTCTCAGCAGCCGCTGAAAGAAGCGAAACAAAACAAAACAAAACAGAATAAATCAAAGCCAGAACACAGCAAAACACACACACACACATAGACAGAGAGCAACGCTTGCGCCTCTCTCACGCTCCGCTTCTCCCTCTCTCTTTCGCAAGCAGAACAGCTGACTTTTGTTTACGCGCCATAGTAAATTTTATGAATGAAGTTGTTTGCTCTTTGTCAGAATGTGTGTGCTTTTGTATGGATGTGTGCGACTGTGTGTGTGTGTGTGCTGAGAGAGTCGCTCAGTTGCCTGCTGTGTGCGTGTGAGTTTACGTTTGTATTCGTGTGTGGGCGAGTGTGCGTGTTGACCTTTAGCAAATGTATAATACATATACATATATATATCTATATTGCATTTAGAATTCGTATAACAAGGTCAGTTGACGTCGCCGCTAAAAGTGTAGCAACAACAACAACAACAACCACAAGAGCAACGCGAGCAGCAAAATTAATCAATAGGCTGAACGCAGCTTGACTTCAATTTGCTGGACGATGGATACAAGTCTGTCCAGCAAATCAGCAGCTTCTTTACCCGCATCATGGATTGTCACCCGCTTCACCAAGGACATGTAGTTGTCGCCGCTGCTGCTGCCCGCGCTGCACGAGATTTGGCCGATGCTGAACTTTGTTAAATTCTTCGATCGAAACAGTTTGCGCAAACACTCGATGTCCTCCACATATTGATTTGCTGCTGTTGTGCCGGCCTGATCACTGACGCCATTCGATGCACATGCCGCCATGGCAGTCGTCGTCATTCTGCCCGCAGCCCAAACTCAACTGATTGAAAGTCTGAAGTGGAGCTGAAGCTAAATTGTGCGCCCAATTTATTGGTTTGTGCAACTGCAGCATTTTAGAGACATTGCACCACTGGCATGAATTTCCGAATTGGGCCAGGTCACTTGATCGCGGCTCATATGTTTATTGTCTTGTATTATAATTCTTTATATTTATTTTTGCCTATGCCATTGATTTTTGCTAATTTATGTGCACTAATTGAAATTTCTGTTTCAGTTTCAGTTGCAGTTTTATTCTGACTTTCGCACAGACGTGCAAATGCGCTGAAGTAAACCGACTGTCGGACGGCACAACGACAACTGAACCACAACGTCAGAACGATTTTCCACTGCATTAAGAATGCACTCACCAACACCCAGACACACGCACGCACACACACACAGACGCACAGCTCACAAGTGCATTTGCAATAATAGAGAGCGAGCGAGCGAGCTATTGCAAAGTTTCTCTTTAATCCTCTCTCTCGCTCGCTCTTTCTATTTCTCTTTCCTGCAGTTCATTTGAAAGCCGGCAGGCAAAGGAGGCAACGCCTCGCTCTCTCTCTTAGTGTAGTTCGCTGTCACCGTTGCAGTTGTTGTTGTTCGGGCCGTTACCGTTCAAGGTGGGGTCAGTGCGAACTTTCGCTCATTTCACGAGTGTACACTGTGCGTATGCTTAACCTCAGCAATGGCAAAGCGGATATGATGTTGCTCATACGCCGTGTTGTGCATAGTCGTTTGCATTGTGCCAGAATTGCGTGCACTTGAAACTGCAGGCAACGGCCTTGACGCCACTGCGCCCAGCTGAGTTTATTTAAGCTCTATGTGTGTGTGTGTGTGTGAGCTTGTGTAGGCTGAGGTGTTTAAGTAAATATAAGTCGAAATAATACTTGAAGGTTGCTCAGAAGCCACTCAAAACATAACTGTTATGTGAAAGTGAGATATTTGTAAATATTGAAAAACTTAAATTATGCGTAATTTATCAAACAATCACGAAACGTGATACTTTACTAATAAAATAAATCTGTTTCACAAAAAAAGTTTTAATTGATGTTCTATAAAATAGTATATGGTACCTAATTCCATTTAATTTGTATTTTATATCTTTAACTACTATTGTATATGAAAGTATTTCGAATGATATATTAAGGGATAAATAGTTTTTATGATGTAACATAGTATATCTGAAAATATTTTAAATGAGCTGTTATGAGTGATGGAAAAATGCTAATTACTTATTATGATGTAATTAGATAAAAATGTTCGCCTTTGGTAGTTATAAACAGGAAATATAATAGGATTTGTATTACGACTTTAATCAAGAACATTATCTTACCTAAAATTCTCCTACTTCTAAGCACATGATTTTGGCAATTTAAAATGTAAGAGAGGAAATCTTCGATCAGATTACTTATAGTGTATATTTCAATTTACACATGATCAGAGCGAATGATTCAAACTAATAAGTAAGATGGCAAAGTGAAAATATATAATTTGATTCACCACATTACTATCTAATCAAAACTAAATATATTAAATATCACAAAACCATTCGAGAGGTTTCGCTGTTAATCCCATGCTAACAATGCAGCCATATATAGTGGTATTTGAATAATATCTCTTAAATATGCATCTACAAATCACTATTCATTAAATATCGAATTCGACAGGGCCAACAAATAAACACCGATTTGTTAGACCACACCCTAGATATGAAGCCAAGCCAAGAGTCAGCCAATGTAATTACCACAAAGACACATTGAGCCACGCACCTGTGCCGCCTACGCGCTTAAGTTCAAGGCAATCGAAATATAAGCCCAGCCAGAGCCCAGCTGTTCCCTCGGCCACAGCCCCCCGGGTGGAGAGCTGCTTCCGCATCAGCTGACATCAGCGGTTGAATAACCCCAGCGCTGACTGTGAGCAGCCACAACAAATTAGGGTCAAACATGTGCAGCTTCACGTTCCGCTCCAGTCGAGACTGAGAAGCTGAGAGATTGAGCTGGTTGAGCACTCAGTTTCAGATTCAGTTTCAGGGTCAAACAACACTTTCAAAACTCGAAATTGAAATTGCAAACGCAATCGCACTTGGATTTGGATTCCGATTCTAAGCAAATTACACATATACATACATAAGAGAAACAATAAATATACCCTCTAAGCACAGCAGACGATAGAGTCGCTTGAGTTGAATTGATTGCCTGATAGACGCCAGGGTGTCTAAGGCAAAAGCTGAAATAAATAAAGTTAATAACATTCTGTTAAACTCTCAATAAATATTACTTTATAAAGTAAGATTACTGATGAATAATACGTAGCTGAAATATGGAATATCTAAGGAAAATCCTTAAAAAGTTGAAGCTGCCCAAAATTAACTTATTTGATTAAATTACGACTATGTCACAGTACCATATACCTCTGCTTAAAAGAATGTGGGTTGACAGCACTATTATACTGTCTAGTAATCCACATCGCAGGGATCCCATCCATTTTCCTGTATCAAAATATTGGTTAAAAAATTTCTCAGTTGCATATACTTAAATGAAAATAGATATTTGACATAGGCTAGCTTCAAGGAAAGCGTAATGGAAATAAAGAAAACATTTAAAGTTCCAAATTGAATACCCTATGATATACTAGATGGGTATGGGCATAGGAAATAGTGCTGTAAAATTAAAGTAGTTGGAATGGAGATGCGAATAAAAATCCGATTTACTTGGATAAGTGTGCCTGTAGCTTGGCTTATTCCTACTCGACTCTTCTCGGTACTTGTCCAGGGTGTCATCTAGTCGAGCATGATTGCCCTCTGCACTCTGTGCACAGCTGTAAAGCAACCGGCAACAGGCGACCTTTTTTGGCGGGCATTTTGTAGAGCATGAGAAACTTTACGGCAGTCTGAGCAAAAAGCTGACGCATTTAATTGCACAGACTATGGCCTAGGCCTAGGTCGACACGCAATTGTTGCTCTTTCATCCATAATTAATTGAATACAAAGTAAATACACCCATGTGTAGACGCCTTTCAAGCCACTCAAACTTGCAGCGCTCGGCGCACAGCTTTGAGTGTTTCTCGCTTGGATTCGACTCAATGCGCGTTGAGTGAAACTCGTTTGCTGTGGCATTCAACGTGAAACACATAAAAGTACGCCACCTCGTTATTCGAATTTCAGTTACAGTTTCTGTGTCAACTTTGCCAGCCAGCCAGAGAGTCAGCCAGTCAGCCAGGTGCAGTGTTTGTTCCAGTTCCCCAGTGTTGAGTCAAGTGGTGGGCGTTACCAAAGAGATCGAGATTAAGATCACAATCAACGATGTTTGTTGTTGCTGCTGTTGTTGTTGTTGTTGTGAGGGCAGTTAATGTGCAACCTTGACTTTGGCTCCAGTTCTGTTCAAATGCCAAGCTGCGCGCCTCTCGTTCGAATGCTAATTTTTAATTGTGACTAAGACTGTGAAATATTTCAGCCTATGTGGAGCAGACTGACAATTAAGTCGCTGCAGCTGTCCGTTGTTATCATTCAGCCAATACATAAATAAACAAATAAAGAAAGACAAACGTCAATTGCGAAAAGTTCATGGATAAAGCGCCAGTTACTGCAGCAGCAGCAGCAGCAACAGTTGCTGTTGCAGCAGCAACAATTGCTGCCAGTTAGGCCAGAGTCGTGTTCAGGCCTGTGCCTAGTCGCTCCACTTGTTGGCGCGATAATTGATTTTTCCGTAAATAATTTATGACGCACGTAACTGACAGTTTCTGCTGAAAGATTACAAATTGCCACTGACCAATGGCCAACGCACCCAAATTATTAGGCCCATAGCCATATCGTTTACTAGCCTTCAATTAAACCAAAATGGAACGGCTCACCTACAATAAGCTCTCCTCTCTTGCAGCGCCTACGATGTGGTCCACCCGCCTGTTCTGTGTGTTCGCTTGCCTTGCACTCGCCCTGAGCACAGCTCGGGCTCAGTTCTTCTACCACCAGGCACTGGGACTGCCAGCCAAGGCGGCGTATGAGCCAGAGTCGCCGTATACGGGATACGCCACAGCCGAGGCGCATCCGTCGGTGGTGAAGAACGCACAGTGGGAGTCGGAGCTGCCTCACGAGTTATCGAAGAGTGCCCGATTCTATGATGATCCCATCATTGCAGCCAATCTGGCCAAGGAGTCCCTGCTCACCCGCAAGGAAATGGCCGTTGTCCACCGGGAGGCGGAGAAGATTCCCCGCGAACAGGTCTACAAGCTCTTCAAGAACGCGGGTTATCTGAGTCGCAGATAAATGGGAAAACATGTCCCGTATCTCCTGTGCCTTGTTGTATTCTAGTTCGTACTTTGTTGCTTATGTGTATTATATAATTTGATATTTTAAAATATAATCATCAATTTCTTTAATCGTATACGTCGAGAGGCTTGTCAGATAAGGAATTGTTGAGGCTATCCTAAGTTGATAGACAGGCTAAATTGTTGCAACTTTTCTGTTGACCTTGTAAAAACAAAAAATGTGCTTAACTTTTTATAATATTATATAATAATATATACTAAATCGAATTAGATAGCTTTGATGTGGGCAATCAAATGAAAATTAAATATTTTCTCGGATAATTATAATTAAATATAATTAAATACCTTTGATACATTTATCAAGGATTAATAAGCCTTAACAGAAAGGTTGCTAGACAAATTACTTTTGCTTTCTAAGATAAAAAGGTTCGCGATTGAGGTCGTCTGCTACTCGGAATCTTCTGACTTTAGCATTTCTGATCACTGTTGGGGATTTATAGACATAAGGTGTTGAGCTATAAAGATTTTTCGAATAGCTCTGAAACAGGTTTAAAGCGGTCATTTTTATTGCTAAAGGTTCACTTTATTGTTGTTGTTAATAACCTAACACAGTTTCCTATAGATGTGAGCAAGCGATTGTAGTAGTACATGTATTGGTGATCTGGATTTTTAACTTATAGAGCTGACAATGCGAGAGCATGTGCATTAAAAGAGTAATAATCCTATCCATTCGATGCGCCGTGAGAACGAACACCCTTTCAAGGGTGGAGAGAATTCTGTATGAATGGCCAATATATCATTACAAGATAATCTATAGGGCGAATTGCCGCTCTTAAATTACATTGTTAAAATTCTATATTAATAGAGCACGAGTATTAATAAAAATATGAAAGTCCCAATTGAAGATCAACAATATCAGTAAAAATTTAAATTTAAATTAAAAGAAATAGAAATTTAGCTAATAAAGAAAATAATTATTTCAATTTATTTATATTTTGAACTCTTTTTAAAAATTTGGGGTATTATGCATTTTTTATTAAATTCCAGATTCTTGCTTATATACATTACAAGTACATACTTCTGCTTGTATATAAATATACATTAGTTTTGTGTTAAAGGTAATATGTAAATTCAAAAAATTGTAATTTTTATTTCCCAATAAAATAATATTAAAATCATGAGTTTTTATATTTAAAGCAATTTTACATGCATCTATATATTATAAGTAGTGGAACTATGATATGGCAAACTGTGCAATAGCTAAATAAAAATATTATATGGTGTGGAGGTGCTATATTATATACAGGTTTACAAAAGTGTCTTTGATTATTGTACAAATAGCTCGGCGCCGTTACTGGGGAACGTGGCAAAGACGACTTCATTGAAGTCGTTGGGCTGATAGCGCTCCAAGAGATGAGCAGGCAATTGAGCGTAGTACTCGCGCTTGAGTACGTTGACGTAATCTGAAGCAGCCTTTACTGAGTCGCACATGGCCACAATGCAACCGCCCCAGCTGTGAACGGAGTTGAAAGCATTTTTATTATATATTTGATTAGAGATTAGGCAGATAAAAGATATCAATAACTACTCACCCCGCGCCCGTAACACGTGCGCTGACGCCTTGCTTGACAGATAGGGCCACGAGGCGCTCTAAATCCGGATGTGAGCACTCATAAAGCTCGCGCAGGCTGTGATGGGACTGTTGCATGAGCTGACCCAGCTGCTCAATGTCCTGTTTGCTGGAGCGGCGTTGTAGCTGCTCGCAAATCTGACGAAACTGGACCACACGCCCCGACTCTGTGGATAACAATTAGATAAATATATATTTCTAATAATTATATAATTATTGAAATGCATTCAAAACTAACCCTGGATAACATGCAAGGCGCGTTGCCGCAGCTTGAACTGTTGCATGTGCTGGGTGCTGGACGTTAGGAAATCTGTTTCCAGCTCTTGTTCCGTGATGCCGAGGCCCTCGCAAATGTCCTCGCGTGTGTAAAGCGATTTTTTCAACTGCTGATCAATGAGCTTCACATAAGAAGCATTATCCAAATGACAAGCCTCCTCGAGATCTATGAATCTAATAAGCTCCTTCCAGTTGGGCAACTTCTGTGACTTTGCCAGCCAACGCGTAGCCAAACGACACTCGACGACGCGTTCGTTGTAGTCGGAAGAGGCTGCTTTCCGCTTCTGCACAAGGCTATTGGCGACCACAAAGCAACTTCCGGCGGGCAACGTAACCGGCGTTCCCTTTAACTTCGGATGGAATTCGATGTGTTGGGCGCAGCCCTGCTTCGCCAGATAGGCAATGGCTTGATCCATGCCACCGCTGTGGGTGCCAATATATTGCTCACAGCTTGCCGAAATCGAGGCCAGCTGCTTGCGATCCAACGGCATGCCCTGAGTATGTCCTGTAGCCAGTACAGCGGCGCTGACCAAAGCACTGGAACTGGACAGTCCGGCGGCCAAAGGAACGTTGCCACTGAGAGCAATGCGCATACCAATTGGGCGCCACTTGTCATTCAGCTCTTCCTGTATGCCTTTGATGCCACACAGAAAGTAGCTGTACCAGGCCGGGCCTCCAGTCTTGGGCAGCTTGATGCTAACAGTGAAAGATATAAATACAAATACATTTGCTGTCTGTATTTAACCTACTCAACGTTATTTAGATCGCAATCAAAGCTTTGAAATTTGCCTTCATCCAGATGATGCAGCTCTAGTTGCGCCTGTTGCTTGTTTGTGCCCACGGCTAGAATAATGCTCTGCTCCACGGCCATGGGCAGCACAGAGTACCCACAGTAGTCGACATGTTCGCCGATTATGTTGACGCTATTGCAGAACATAAACATATAAGGATCAGGATTATACAAATAAAGTTATGTTATCCCCTTACCGTCCGGGTACACGCACATAGAACTCTGGTTCATCGCCGTATTGCTCCTTGAAAAAGCCGCCCAGTGTCATTAAGCGCTCATAGATCTTGGCATCGGGCTGAAGCTTTTGCACTGCAACATGCTCATCTCCCACTTTGGAGTCTGGGACTGTACCGTTTCCACTATTCAATGCCATTATTTAACTTGCAATTCGATAGAAAAAATATGTTTTCGTTATAAGAATGTGAACGTGTCACAATACCCCGTTGAGCCGTAATAATAATAATACAGGCCCATTAAAAAGAAAATACGTACGTAAACAAAATTAGCTACACACACACTCACTCACATATGTATACATATACGGAAGGTGTGCAAAATAACTGTTATCAGCGCGGCTCTCACCTTATCACAATGTCATTGGAGTGATTAAATATGCAACGACTTGCTAACTGGCAAATATCGGTTTCGGAAGTATATTAGGTTGCATCACTCGTTAAATTGACTCAAATTGTATTAATTAAATTGACCAAAATGACTGCAAAGTGCACAAACTTATCGCTTACATATTGCACCGGCAAAACCTAACGCGCTCAGAGAGAGAGAATAGCTGAAGATAACAGCTGATATGAAGGCGTTGCCAGACATAAGATAAATATACATTGCATTGGCGGGTGTTTTGAGTGTGTTTCAGCTAATATACTTTCTCTTTTTTTACAATTCTATTAACCGAAAGTGCTTTTTGTACACATACCAACAGATATTATCAGGCTTTCAGAAGCGAAGAACACTTGGAATGAGTTTTTACGTTATCAAGCGAGCAACTGAATTGTAGTTGATTGTGTGCGAACGCTACGACCGCTAATGGGAAACTGAGAGCTCAAGCCAGTCCAGTTTCCGTTTTGTTTAGGCAGATATTAAAAAAGTATGTGTTGCGTCTCATTGGTGCGACGTCTTCTAGAGTTTTGTTTACATTAGCTGTTCGTTATCAGCCTGAATTCCATGTAGGTCATGCTCACTGTAGCCCTGCTATGTGGCTACACTTAAAAAAAAAGACATTTTGATGAGCTTTTAGAAACAGGTTTGTACGCAAATGTAAATTTAATCACATACATATTTATGCTCAAGTAAATATTCAAATCGAAATCTTTAAAATTCGTGCAGTAGTGTGCTCAGTTATGCTCTTTTTTTTTGTAGATTTATATATTTTGTATATATTATGATAGACTCCGTCAATTTAAATTTTTGTTGAGCCGCCGATATATTTGATATGTTACTATCGATCAATATATTCGATAGTCATACATATATCGTACATCCGCCGTTATGAATATTATTAACATAATAATTAATACAATTAAGTACGCAAATAACTATGATTTTTAAAAATATATTAATTACTAGCTTCTAAGAACAAATTCAAAATATCGATAAGTATTAGACAACAGCTGCTCTGTTATAGGTACATTTTTACTGTGGTTAACATAAAATAGATTGTCAAAAAGTCGTCAGTTTACCTGTTACAAGGTGCAAAGTTAATTTACGCGCAAAGAAATAAAGCTATTTAAACTAATGTTTAAATGAAATTTATACATTTATGCAGTCAATAATTAAATAATTTGTGTCTGATTGAGAAAACTCCATATTTTTCATTGACACTCAAATTAGATGCACTGTTAATAACATATCAGCAAATGTTAAAGTCTTCTGGCGCCTAACAGAAGCGAAAACATAACGAAAAAAAAAATACAAAGATTTTAATATATCATCCGAAGTACTTGACAGACAATCCGTAAGCAATGTCAAGCTTACAACGTACAGTGCTTAAGTCGAAATTGCCACCCACCATTCCGGGTGGCCGGATTGGCCGAGCGTAAGTTTTTTCCGCTAATTATAAGCGTGTGGGCGGAGGATGAAGGACATGACATCTAATTAATATGCCATTGCAGAGATTCATTTAAAAAATCACGAATCAGGGACTACCGGCCATGTATGTGGAACGAGTTCTTCGCCGAGAAGGAAGACGTCGTCGTGGACGAGCACCGAATGTTTCGAGTCTACCGCACTAAAAAACCCGAGAAACCAGGCCCCATATTGTTGTTATTGCACGGAGGGGGCTATTCGGCGCTTACTTGGGCGCACTTTTGTGTATGTATACGTATGCTGTACATGTGAGCAATTATCATATTCCATCACTATCCGTTCTACCTTCCAGTCGGAAGTGACAAGCATGATACACTGTCAGTGTCTGTGCGTCGACCTTCGAGGACACGGCGACAGCAAAGTGGATGACGAGGACGACTTGTCGGCAGACACGTTATCACAGTAAGTGGTAGCCTGTTGCTTCTCTGAGTGTGTGGGAGATGCCTAAATGCTATGCTCTGTATGTACTTATAGGGACATTGGTGATTTAATCACAAAACTCTATCCCGAGGAGGTACCACAAATCTATGTGGTTGGTCACTCGATGGGCGGAGCCATTGCTGTGCATTTTGCTCATATGGCATTGGTGCCGACTCTGATTGGCATCACCGTAATCGATGTCGTTGAGGGCACAGCTATGGAAGCTTTAGCTAGCATGCAAAGCTTTCTGCGCTCGCGTCCCAAGTATTTTCAGAGTATACCGAATGCCATTGAATGGTGCATTCGGAGCGGACAGGTGAGGAATGTGGACAGTGCCAAAGTCTCAATGCCTGGACAGATAATTAAGTGAGTGACGTCATTGCGAAGAGAGCTTTTAATTTAAATTGATTTTCCGATTTAGCTGCACAACGAATAAATTGGCAACGAATGATCTTCCCCTGCCAGAGGAGGTGCTAGAGGAAGCGCATCACACGAGCATGTTTCCCAATGCATTTAGCATTTCTGAAGATGAAGAGGTAGGCAATACCGGGGAAGAAGGAGCTGAAAGCGTTGACTTCAAGAAGCCCATGACAACTAAAGCAGCAACAGATGCGGCCAAGAAGTATGTATTTCAACGGTAAATTGGAAAAGCAACGCTGACATTTTGAATACTTGTAGCTACACCTGGCGTATTGATCTGGCTAAATCGGAAAAGTATTGGGTCGGCTGGTTTTCGGGTCTCAGCGACAAGTTCCTCAATTTACGAATACCTAAACAATTGCTCCTGGCCAGCATTGATGGCCTTGATCGCACACTTACCGTTGGCCAAATGCAGGGACGCTTCCAAATGCAAGTGTTGGCACGCTGTGGTCACGCCGTACACGAGGATCGTCCACACGAGGTTGCTGAGGTCATCAGTGGCTATTTGATACGCAATCGCTTTGCTGAGGCCGCCGGCGAGTTTCGATGCCACATGCCCTCCTGTTAATCCTCAATCTTGTACAATTGTAGCACAAAATGTCTATTTTTAAATGGAGCATTACAGACGTGTATACATATATATATATATATATATATATATATATATATATATATATATATATAAACTTACGCACGGAAGCATAAGGAATAGGAACAAGAAATACTCTAGCCGTATTATCTATATATATTACCATATACTCCAATAATTTATTCGATTACTTACAACAGATTCATACGTATTTTCAATCGTTATAGTATTCGCTCAGTTAGCCAAACGCCCGATTACAAAAACTAGTAATTTCATTGAGTTGCGCTTCTTAAATTCTTAAGCTGTGAGTTTTTGTCTGTATTGAAAATGTGCCACGATTCAATTTGAACTTATACAAAACGACTATATTATATCAAGTAAATAATTTTAATAAAATTATAAAATTACTACTATACACGCGCAACCCAATTGTTTCTAGCGCCCCAAACTATGCTTTTTAGTTAATTAAGTAGAAAAATAATGATTTGCTCAACGGTTCGCTCAATTTACTTGTAAAACTATTTCTACACGTTAAACATTTAACATATTTTGCTTTTCGACTTCATTCTAGTCGACAAAGCGATAGCCTCCATCTGCCTTCATTTTTATCTTGGTCTCCAGGCTACGGATGCGATGTAAGCGCTCGGAGATTTGATCATGTATCTCCGGACGATATTTTTTACCCTGTCCCAGAGCCTCCATTTCGGCCAGCCATTCGGCACGCTCATTGATTTGATCCAGCACTGAGATGACATTATATATAGAGAGAGGTTTAAATGAACAAAAACTGAGCTGGACTCACATTCATTGATTAGATCATTCTCGGTAACCAAACGATCCTCACGGGTACGTCGAAGCGGCTTGATGGCCGGATCCGGCAGCTCAATGCCAGCCATGGTGAATTGCAGCCTCGACTTGGCCTTGTCGCTGACCATGCGATTGTCCACTTTGGGGCGAAAGTAGGACCTCTCATAGGCGCCACTACTCTCAATCTGGCGCAGATTCTTGCGCTTGGCATTGCGAGCACGCTCCAGTATGGCCTGGGTCTCCTTGTCGATATCGTTGCTGGTATTGGGACGAGGCGGCTTAGGCAAGGGCAGTGGCTCACCACTGCGCAAGCTTTGATCGATCTGTTTACGCATAATCATGGACATCTTCGACTCCTTCATGAGCACTGCAACGCAAGCGGGGCAAGCTAAATGGCATCCCAGAACTCTAATTATACTTACGCTTAAGTAAATCAGCAGTTTCCTTGCTGTACTCCACTTTGGGAACATGGAAGGCACCGCTGCCGCCAGGGGCAATGCGTTCACTTGGCCACATGGGCAACTGCTCATTGTCCTTGTCTTTGTCAGTTATATGTCCTCCCTTGGGCAACGGCATCTCCGGCTGTGGCTGATGCTGCTGTTGGTGCCTGAGCAAGCCTGCGGTCAGCCCATCGAGCTGTACGTTATTATAGCGATGCCTGTGCATATTGTTAATAGTTCAAATTTTGCTCTCTATAAATTTTAGTTTTTATCTATAATATGGATATATATATGTTTGGATTGCTTTTCAACAGTTGTGTGTGCCCGATATGTCAGTGGAAAGGCCTCGCACGTTAACTTCAAACAACTGGAACACGCATGGCAACCTTTGTTGTTAGGCAACCAAGTGGGGGTATCACACACACACACACACACACACACACACACACACGCACACACTCAGTCAAAATAAGCAGTTAGTTTTTGAAATAATTTATTTAAAATAAATAAATATATATATATTAATTTATATATATGCTTGTTTGTATATGTGTATTGGTAATAGGTACACTCTGAATGTTCACATTTGATAATTCGTTCTATGCCTGCGCCTTGACCTCTCATCTTCTTTGACTCGATTTATTTAATATTTATTAACTTGACTTTATGCACTATATTTTTAATAGTTGAACTTTTACTTATTAAACCGTTTTTTCGTATTTTGAACTTTGCTATGGCTATCAATTTTGTTTATATATAATTTTTTCAAGCTTCAACAGAACAGTTTCTTTTTTCTTTTTTTTTTTTTTTGGTTAATGTGTTTTTGTATGTGTGTGGGTGGGTGTATTTGTGTGGTTGTTGTATTTTATAATTGAAATAAAAATCAATTTGTATATGTTTATCAAGCATCAGCCATATATGTATATACAATCCTGCAATTCTCATGCATTTCGTTCAGTTTTTACACACCATTTTAAATTTAAGCTAACAATTTGTTTTAATATTCTTACAATTTTCCATGGCCTACAGCGGTCCATTCTCGTTTTTTTAGACTTAGCTTAAGCTTAGTTACAAAGCATTCTCGATCGACATTTGACAAATATGCATATATACATATATCAACATATAAAGCAATTCTCAAAACAATTTAAAATAACATAACATAATCGATTGCCATCATTATCATAATATACAGCACAATGTTTACAATTGAACAATTCAATAAGCCTAAAAGCAAAACAAAACATATTTAATATTTGTATATATGCATACAATCATATATGCAATACAATGTCTAACAACATGTGTGTGTGTTTTTGGCTTATATTCTTACTACTTATACAAAATACAGTATGTGTTGCATTAGCTTAATTAATATGCTCCTAAACCACTTCTGCTTTTCATTACAACTCGAACATAAGAAAATTTCTTTAAGTGTTTACAATTACAGTTTACAGTTTTGTTTTCAGCAATTATGTTCCTTTAAATTTAAAATAAATATGTGTATATATTTGTTTATATATTTTGTTTGTATATATTTATATATTTATATATATATATAGTTCATTATGTGACTTTCAGCAAGCAACGTTTTTGATTCGCGTATGTTGTGTGTCTCGTGTGTAGCTTCAAACGTGTTTCATTATTCCAGCTTTTCTAGTTCTTACATAGTTGCGAATATAATAATCTTAGTCAGTCTCATGGTCACGATGCAGAGTTCATAATATAATTTATTAACATATGCATGCACATATATATTAATAATTATATTTACGCATATATATTGTATGCAATTTCGTCGTCGACGTCTGTCTTAGCGGGGCAGCCGTCAAAATAGCGTAAAATGTTGATCAAATTTGGCCAAATTTTCCTACAGAGAGAAAGTGGTTGTTGTTGTTGGTTTTGGATGCTGGTTTGTTCTTGGTTGTTGCTGTTGTCTTGCATACAGTTTGCGATTAGGTGGAACTACATTTCGACATATTCAACTTAAATATTAATAACATTGGCAGCGTTTACAACTGCGCCTCTGAGTCGTTTCTGAAGCTGTGCTCTAGCTGCGCCAATGGCTTTTGGGGAAAGGACTTATCTGTCAGCTAGACCCTGTCAGTTTAGAACGGCCAGCCGTTTTACTTTGGTTGCAGTAGCTCCAGACTTACACAGCGGTCGCTTCATTTAACAAACAAATTCAAACACATACACTCACGCACATATACCCTAACATTAGATACAGAAGGTAAACTTAATATTTAAACAAACTTTTCAATATCTTACAGAACTAAAAACGATTACAAAACACGGTCAAACCTTTTGGGCTACAATATACACACACTCGCACACACACGTACACACAAACAAACAGACAGACACAACAATTTAACATTGAGTTTGAAAAACATTATAAGATATTAATTGCCAACAGACTAATTCATTGCCTGCTCAGTCATTTGGCGGCAGAGCGTCTCCAGCTGCTCCAAGCTCTTAAAGTCGTTCAATTTGTAATCATGCGGCGGCATATTAAAGCCTTCCTTAAGCGAGGCCATGCTTAAGTTAATAAGCTGCGGCTGAGACAGGCAGTGATCTCTATTGTTGTTGTTATTATTAAAATTATTATTGTTATTGTTATTATTATTGTTGTTGCATATTGCGCTACAGGCAACGACGTCATCACCACAACCATCACCGGGACACAAACAGCCGCCATTACCTACGGCAGCGGCGGCAGCAGCAGCCGCCAGCAATTGCAATTGCTGATGATTAATCGAATTGTTGTTCAATAAATTATTGTTGTTGTTATTATGGTTGTTGCTGCTGTTATTGTTATTGCTACTATTATTGTTGCTGCTGATTAATATTTGCGGTGGCTGCTGCTGCTGCTGCTGTTGCTGGTTGGATTCAGTTTGATTCACATTACTAACCATTACCACAGCGGCCATCGTTTTCTTTGGCTGCTGCTCCACAGTTGAAATTAAATTGGGTCCAGTGGTGAGGCCATTCAAGCTGGGCTTGCGCTGCTGCTGCTGCTGCTGTTGCTGCAGATTGTCATTGTTGTTGTTGCTGTTGGTAAGAATCCCCTGGCCAGGCTTAAAGATCATTTGCTGAGGCTGCTGCGGCCCGCCTGCGACGACTATTAGATTATTCAGCGAGCGTCTGTGATGAGGCGGCGGCGTCTGCTGCGGCAAGGCTGGAAAGTGCTGGGCATGCTGCTGCAACATTTGCTGCATTTGCTGTGCATGCTGTGAATGATGCTTCGGCGGTTGTTGCTGCTGCTGCTGTTGCTGTTGTTGCTGGGGATTATTCATAAAGTTGGGATACGAGGAGCTCTTGTACTGCTGTGTCTGATACCCTCCATTATAGTCAAATTGCTGCTGTTGTTGCTGCTGCTGCTGTTGCTGTTGTTGCTGCTGCTGATGATGCTGAATGGGATGCTGCAAACAGTTCAGCGAAAAGTTCAGCATATCATTTGAGTTCTTGCGATGATTGATGCGATCGTTACTGCCATTTTTGGGATCACATTTGCGAGCCTTGCCGTTCCACCTAAACAAGCAAGATATTATTATATTAGATAGATATTACGGGATAGAGTATGCGATTTACCTGGGCTTATTCATATTGCTGGTTGTGGCACTCGTTGTCTTCACATGATGAAGCTTGGGCACCATGGACATCTTGATCTTGGACAACTTAAACTTGAGCTCCTTCAATTGATTGGCATGATTCACAAATGCCTCGTTGTGTATGGAACGGTCCAGTATCCACATGAATACACCCAGTGTTTCCTCATCCGGCACGCAGTAAGGATCCTGTTGCAATGCATTGCTAACCAAGTCGATCACCTTAAGGAAACGCAACCCAATGTTGTCCTCGCCTGAATTCGATTCCAGTGGCTTCATGGGCGTCAGCACAATGTTGGTGAGTTCCTCGATAGCGGTGCTTATCTTCATCTGTCCCGTGTGCAGCTCCTGCTCCACCCTGCTGAGAATGTGCGAGCGCTCCTTCAGCTTCTCAATGCACAGCGCCAGCTTGTGAGACGCGCCCTTTGTCACGCCCACACTCTGCAGGAACTCCTCGCTGATTTGCAGCATCTCCTCGTAGGTCATATTCTTGAACAGCTCAATGTACTTGTGCAAACGGAGCGACTTCAGCCACAGGCCGATTCCAGACATTCCCACATTGCGAGTCTGGAACTTAATGTAGCTGGGCTTGAAGTCATCGAGGCGGGTGTCCGAGGTGCTGTTCGGCAGTGTACTGTTAGCACGATGATGCTCAATGGACAGCGAGAAGCTGCGCGGTTTGTTCGCAAACTGAGCCAAATTCTCCGTCGAGTTGGAGCAGTTGTCGTTAACCGTAATCACAGACGAGTTCGATGAGTTTGACGAGCAGCTGGAGATCGTTTGAGTGGTCAGGCTGTTAGAGCGCCGTGTCTTCAGCGCGGCAATCTTGCTGTCCAGGCTCCAGCGATTCACGTCACCAAACTGATCGCCCACATACCCCATTAGTATGGAGGAGTATGCCAGCTGGTGCGGGGGAGGCGGCGGTGGCGGCTGCAACAGCTGAGGAAGAATCGCAGCAGCTTGCGTAGGAGTCTGCAAATAAAGATGCACACACATATTATATTAGCTTTCGACTTGATAGATATCAAATGATAACAGAACAAATGCTCTGTTAGATATATTTTACTTTAATTCTAATTACATTTTGTTAGCCATTGTTAGGAAGTGTGTTCATTATTTTCGACCTTTAAACACAGTTATTGTGAACATTGACTTTGAATTGTGGCTCGTGTGATTTGTTACATTAGGTGTAAGGTGCAGACTGGAGTGGGTTAATGATTTGAGTAAATGTGTATAATACTAGTTATGAAAGTGTGCGAAGATATCTGGGAAGAAGCGTGCGAATAGGTAAGTGTATTAATTGTGTTGTTTTAGGTCTGAATTCAGGAAAGTTTGAAGTGTTAAATGGCAAGGCGGTGGGATTGTGGTGGATATGGCTAATGTTTTTTACTTTATTCTTTATTTCTTATTAGTTTTATATATTAAAATTTTGCAATGAGCTGTTCACCTACCTGTTGTTGGCTGAGGTTAGCGCTGCATATGCCGCTTGTCTCGGCAGTTCCGTTGCCAACGCCATCACTGTGCAGTGGCTCAAAGTCAAGGATTTCGGTGCCATTCTTGCTGAAGGAGGTGTCATGATCTTCGTTGCCGCCAAGGCCAATGATGGAGCCCGCCGCGGCGCCAGCAACGACGCCATTGACCAGGGACGAGTTGCTGCCCAGGGAGAGCCCTAAGCTATTCTGACTAGATGCTAATTCGTTCAGTGTAATACCATTTAAATTATCACAGAGTGGATTGATCGAGCCGCAGGAGCCGCTCACACTGCCTCGCCATTCACCAGGTTGTCTGGGCAGCTGTTTGCTGTGGTGTCTGCTGGGCGGCGCAATCGTTTGCCAGTCAACGTTGCGCGTCAAATTGCCCAGCGATGAGGAGGACGACGAGGAGCTGTCCGAAATGGCACCCGTGGCCATCTGCAGTTGTAGCTGCAGCGGATCTGGCTGCACAAAGAAACTGCTGCGCTTGTTCGCTTGTATGTAGTCTTCGAGGTGACGAAGCCACACATTCAGCGAGCGTCGATCATCGCTGCCTACGGCGGGATGTATAAGCATATAGGAGAAGATCTGCTGCACCAGCTCCGTGGGCACCAGCTGCTGAGCGGTGTCCTTCACAGCGAGCGGTATCAGCATCATGTAGGTCTGTTTGGCCTCCTCGTTGCCCGGTTTTAGCAGTGGCAGCATGTTGAGCACCTCGTGCAGGATATCCTCCTTGCGTGCGCACAATTTACGCTCATCTCCGCTCAGCTGGGCGGCATTTGTGCTGCTGGTAATCTGAAAGTCGCTGCCATAGCAGTGCATCGAGTCCTTGTCCGACGAGGAGGACGACATGCCCTCAGCTAAATCATTGGGCTGACACGCTTTGTACGCACTCAACAGATTCTGCAAGTAGGCTGGATTATTCGCATTGATGTCAATGACGACGCTGTTCAGAGTCGACTGGCAGGTGCCCAGATTCTGTGTAAGATTGTTGTCTATGGAATACTGTAGAAACTTGAGGCTGGGATAGCGCAGTCGCTTCAGCAGTGCATACATGACCACTGTGCGCTCACAATCGTTCCACTTCTCGAACAGATTCGTCACTGTCGTCACCTGCTCACAGAATAAAGCATTGCTTGCCGTTACCGTTGCAGTTGCTGTTGTCGCTGTCGATGTTGCAGTTGCTGGTGTTGTATCGCTGTTGTTAGCAGCATTGGTATCAATTTGGTTGCTGTTGCTAGGATTTGGGCTTGGATTTAAATTGGAATTTGAAGCGGCGGCCGTGCTTAGGCCGCAACTTGTCGTTGCTGCGAGTTGTTGCTCCTGCAGTTGTTGTTGTGTGGCTGTGACACCTGATTGCAATTCATTTAAGGCATTTTGAGGGTCGGTGCTGCTGTTGCTGTTGCTGCTGCTGCCAGTGGGCAGCGCGTTGTCTGTTCCTGCTGTGTACTTCATATCGTTGTATATGCACTTCTTTAATTACTCAATAAATCTTATCGTATTGATCTTTTAGTTAATATTACAATCAGTTTTAGTTTAAAGTGTGTAGCTTATTTCGTTCAGTTGCCAGTACTGTAATGGGAAAACATAAACGTAATAGGTAAGTGAAAGTAAATGAATTTATTTAGTATTGTACTTATACAAAAATAAATAATAAAAAATATAAAGACAATTCTATTAGTTCATTGTTATTTATTAGATAAATGTATATAATTATATTTCAAATATATTTAATTTTTATATCTAAACTCAAAAATGTTTTAATATATATACATATATCACATATAATATATTTAAATAATATAATATATGATTAAAAATATTAACATTTTTATATTTTTTATTTTGTTATGAAATTATAAAATATATAAGCATAAATAATTGAATCTATTTTTTTAAGGTTCGATAAAATGTTGTACAAAAATAATAAAAGAGGGCATTAATGTGATTTGGAGCCACGTGATCCACAAATCATGTCACAAATGGAAGCAATTTTTACCCCTCTTTAGCAAGTGCTATTGCTGTTTCTGCTCCCATTTCGGGCGATAATAGATGTCAAGCGACTATGCCGACGCCGACGCCGACGCCGCCGACAACATTCAAAGTTAATCAAATCAATTTTTTGCTAATTTATTAAATTTACAAATGCGGCGACAATAACAAGAAATTGCAACCTGACAAATACACGACGGCGAAAATAAAAATTATGATTAAATGTGAAAAAGAAAAAAATTAGCATTCATTGTAGCCCGTTCCGAACGACCCTCTGTCCGCCCGTCTGTCCGACAATTGGACGTCGGGCGGCACCTTCGGGGTGGCTCTTATCAGAAAAATAAATAAATAAATAACGAGTTTGGTACATAGCACCTTAGCTTTGAGCTTCGCGGAGGCTATGGTGGCGTTCGCAGCGGCGATAAATCAATAATAATACTAGACATCAAATTTTTCAAAATCATTATTTATCTATTAGGTTAAAGCGTGTCTAGCTTTAATATAAGGGCGCGCGGGAGGCGCGCGGCAACGGAAAGATTTAGAATAAGTGTGGTTAGGGCAGGGCTTTTGTGATTTACACTTTTCATTTAATTTTGTTGCGCTTTATTTTATTTCATTTGTATTTTCTTCTTTTATACGCTGTGCTCATTTCGAACGGGTATAATAAAGCTTGTTACAGTAGATGTTGTAGTTGTTTCGCTAGCGACTTTCTTCGATTTTTTCTTTTCATTGCTGTTGTTGTTGTTGTTGTCTACTGTTACAATTTTAAAGCTCTCTCGGCAATGCAGCTGTGTCAATGTACATACCTACATGTATGAATATGCTCTCTATGTATGTATGTGTGCACATGAGCAAGCATTAAAACATAACGGGCCCAATTACAGTATTAAAGAGCGGTCAAGTGGAATTTACTGGGTTTTTTTACATTTATATTATATATATTTTTTTATTTAAGGTGGGATTTCACATTTTTGTTTAATTGCAACACACAATTACTTGTGTACGATATTAAAGCTAAAATCAAACCCATTAAATATACATACATACATATATATATTGTTACAGCCGCGCTGTCATGTAACGGTAACTAGGCATGCCTTGCTAAGGAACAGTTTCAAAGATTGAGGTTATGTGTCAGTATCACAGTTGCTGCTAATATTACACAGGCACCCACAATTAGTCAAAGTTCAATAAACGATACATATTTACAGAAATAAAATACACACACAGGCACATGAATCAACAATACTGTGGTACTCACAATTGTGCGGTGTTTCATATGTAGCCAGCAGCGATCGCATTCGCTTAGCATTTTCTTTTCGCGTATTTGTGTTTTACATGCACAATATAAATTTGATTATCTGCACTCGAATAAACACAAACAGAAATGCGGATTTAACGAAACGAAGCCAGGCAGGCGGCACAGCCTATAATTGATGCAGCGGGCACGCTATGGGGAGCAGCACTGAGGATGGCAATGGCTGCGGACAACCCTAGAGGCAAAACCAGAGCATCAGCAGCAGCCGAGAGAATGACGTTGATTGGCGCTGGCGCTGGCGCTGAAGCTGGCGTCGGTGGCGTCAGCTAATGTAGCTGGCGTTTTTAAAAATGGTGGAGCCTGTAAAACTAAGTCTCAGCCTCAGCAGCGCAAACGTGCCGAACGTGCGCGCCTTTTTCTGACAGCCGAAGGAACATGCAATGCTGCTGCTTCTGCTGTCTCTGCTGCCGCTCTACGCCGACAGCGGGGGAGAACATCGCAATATATTGTAAACATGTACACATACATCTGCACACATACATGCTCACACAGCTGAATGTGCTAGTGTGTGTGTTTGTATGCCTGCGAATGTAGCGGAATGCAAGCGACAATATGTCGCGCGCTACAAAACGACCTACCGACCCCAAAGCAAAGCGCGCTCACACACACAACCATATGCAATACGGAAACAGCCAGAATACACAAGTAAAAATTGCGGCAAATTACATGAGATTACAGAGCAGCAACAGCAAAGGCAGGCAGACATTTGCACTCTTCTTTTCCTTCTTCTTCGCATTGCCTTTGCTTCTTCTTCTGTTTCTGCCTCTGTTGTTGTTGTGCTTGCTTTCGGTAGTCAGAGCGCAGCACAATTGTTTTCATGTCGCTACTTTTCAATTGCACTCACTTTCCGTTCCGTTTTGGGCAAGTGCTTCTGTCGTCCATCCGTCCGCCCGTCCACACATCAGCGACAAACACGCTCGCTGTTTTGTTTTGCTGCTGCGACAACCAGCTGCCCCCAAAATCACGCCCCACCCACCCAATCATAGACAAAACGTTAACAACAACACAATAACATAGCCATAGACTATACACTGCGCTCTGCGCTTGTGCCAAAATCGTTCTATTTTTCAATTACCTTTTGCTTTCTATTCGCTTGTTAGCGCTGCAAACCTTGAAATTATTTTCACACAGTTTTGATCGTTCCGATATACGAAATACGAGCATATTTCGTTAATTTGATATGCATATGCTATCGGATCACGCATCCATTAATTTTTGTATAATTTTCACCTTGACTTGGCTTTGTTATTCTCTGTTTTTCAACGTCTTGCAAAATCATACTACATCGCCTTTTTTAGCTGACTCTGGCATCACCACGACATATTTGCGCGTGCACGCAACACATTTTGGGATGAAATGAAATAAAACTGTACACAACTGTATCCGCTCGTAGTTGTAGGCATTATTTTTGTGCAAATTTATACTATATTTTTACAGTTAATTAATTATTAATTCCCGCAAACGCGACGACGTTCTCGCTCGTAGAAAGTGCTGCTGGAGATGGAGATGACAAATAAAGTTAAGACAGTTCGGAGCGAACTGGCTCACACGAACTGTCTCGCAGACTGATTACTAATTCGATATCTGGTATTTCTCCCATCACATCATATTTCGTAAACTATATTATAATTATTAATAATGTAATAATTAATGAAAAAATATGTAATTATGGCATTCTTAAGTGACTGCAATTGAAAAATGTTGTTAATTAATAAACCAATTGCACCATGCTATCGATGATTAATTCATCGCTATTTCTTCATAATAATGCTGCCACCCTGTTAGAATATTTCTTCAGCTCAACTTGTTCACATAAAATTTACAGTGGCGAAGGAAAATGAAAAATAGTTATTGGAAAATTGAGTGCTACTGCAAGCTGAAAATGCAATGCACATTAAAATAAAGAGCATAAGCTGTAAATTGTTCAATTGCTGCGCAATATAACCCATCGAAATAACATTACAATAAGGAAAACAACAATCTCGCTACTCCTATCTAGAGCAAAGCAACAAAAACCACATAACACATTTGTATACAAAATGTTTGCACAAACGGAGTCATATAAAAACAACTTTTTGGAACACACAAAAGCTGCGCGGGAGGAGCGCGCCCTTGAGAAGCGGCGGGAAGAGGCTGCAATTTTGTTGCAAGCTACTCTTAAGGGATTTGTTGCCCGCAGCAAATATCAGAAATGCATAATGTAAGAAAAATCCCTATAAATATATTTTTAATTTAAGCACATTCTTAAAATCACAGCAACGACTTCGACACCGTCTTTATGGGCGGTCATGGGGGCGAACAAGAGGAGAAGGATACAGAGCTGCAGCCCGCTCTGAATGTATATCCTGTGCTGCGTCGCTATCTAACACAAATCAAATTGGATAAAAACGATGGCCGTATGCGAGATCGCCTAGAACGCATTTGCCGCTATATGATCCGCGCAATGGAAGCTGACAATCCAAAGATATCCTATGCCGCATTGTGTTTGCACAAGGATCGCAGTTTGCCTTGGATAGGACACATAAAACAGCTATTGGGCAATTGCATGCAGTTGCTGCCAGAGCTGAAGCCAGAGAATCATGCTGATAGCATATCGCTTGCTCTGTTCTTACACACTCTTATTGTGTTCACTGCGACCAAGTCTTGGGCTATATTGCGTAATGCCCAATTTGAACGACTGCAGCCAGCCATGCAGAAGATCTGTTGCAACATCCAGGGACACTTGGTGCATCACGGATTCTACAAAACTATGCGCGTAAGCCTATCAGAGATTTAAACCCAGATATAGCTTCGATAAAGCCTTAGTTTGTTGTGGGTCAATTATAACTATAATGATTCATTGCTATTCCCGTATTTACAGGTTATACTGCTTAAAGGAACTGCACGCGAAGAATTGTCTGTCAAACCAGTGACGCTTGTAGCTATAATCACGCTCTGTCTGCGACCGTTGATCGATGGCGACTTCAGTCGCAATTTGCTTTCACAATTTCTAAGCGAAATACTCTCAGTGCCGGCGCTAATTTATCACTTGCATCAGAGCGTTCCGCAATGCATTGAGCAGTTCAGCTCATTAGCGTTGCTAAAACGTGCTGTTGGCATATCGGAGGATTTGCAGTGGTTCGAGGAGCTCGCTTCGAGCATGTCGGGCACCAAAACGCTGGCTTATTTGGGCAACATTGTAAATATGTTCAATATAGAAAATTTGGCAGAGGCCAAGAAATTGGCCTATCCGTTGCTGACTGTGAGTAGACATAGCTTCGATTTGGTATATTTGATTTGTTAATATATTTCTGTCATTGTTGTAGGACACCGCTACATCGCTGCTGGAACTAATACCCAATACAGTGACCACGAAGGGCGTGTTTACTCAGTGGCATGAACTGCTAGGCTGGCACACACCCTGTGCGGAGCCGGCACAAAATCAGAATGTGGCACTCATTAAGAAACAGTTCCACATGCTGTGGGATCATCGGTGCATTAAGTTGTTGCTGGGTGACTTGCTGAAGGGAATCAACGAAAACTACGAACGAATCGAGTTTCACTCACCGCAGCAGCCATCAACGAGCAATTTGCTGCGTCGTGCGCTCGAACGCAGCTCCACACGTGGCAGTGGTTTATTGGCCACAGCCGCTGGCAAGCAGCCGAAGGTACAATGGCGCAAACTGGACAATAGCGATGTCGTTCAGGTGTCACGTATTTGTGCCATGTATTATGCAGCATTAAGCACACTCTCGCAGATGAAGCTGGACATACTGACGGGCATTTGCTACAATGACAACGTTTTGTACGACATTTGGTTGCTGCTAACCTCGCTGGGGCCCAACTGCGGCATGAAGGAATATCTGGACCTTTTGCGATGCGAGACATCGACACAAAAGCCACAGATAGCCATGCTGATGCTCTTCTGTGACTGCATGACGCACTATGTGACGTGAGTTTTAGTAATGATTCTAAATCATAATTTTGGCTAATTTAACATTCATTACCTAACAGCATTCTGGACGAGTATGAAATGTACACCGAGCAGAATCCCTTTCGGCTTAATGACTACGTTATGCTTACATATTTTCTAAATAATATACTATACAAGCTGATCAATGATAATATTATGGGTATGGCTAGAGGAACTTCTCTTAAAATGTTACTCAATTAACTCGATTTCTTTTTAAAAGGCGCCAGAAACGTTGTAAGTAATCCCGTATTTGTTTCGCTTCACACGCTGTTGCTCTGTCTATACCGTCGTGACTGTCGACGGCCCTTCACCCCCGCCAATCACTGGCTCATACCGGAGATCAAGCCATCGACTTTCATCAATGATCTGGAGAAGGCCAAGCGTAACGCAATGCTTTTGCTGGCCAAAATGCCCCACATCATACCGCACGAAGATCGCGTCAAGCTGTTCAGAAAGTTCGTGCAGAACGAGAAAGCTGTGATGGGACTGACAGAGAGTGCGTGTGCCTCGCCACGATCAGCGCTGATTGTCATACATCGGGAGCGGATTGTTGAGGATGGCTATCGCCAGCTGGCCGCTCAACCGACACATGCGCTGAAAGGAGTGATTCGAGTACGCTTTATTAATCAGCAGGGCCTGCACGAGGCGGGCATTGATCAGGATGGCGTTTTCAAGGAATTCCTGGAGGAAACCATAAAGAAAGTGTTTGATCCCTCATTGAATCTATTCAAAACCACTTCGGATCAGCGGCTATATCCATCGCCCATTTCCTATGTGCAAGACAATCATTTGCAGCTGTTCGAATTTGTGGGCCGAATGCTTGGCAAGGCGGTTTACGAGGGCATCGTCGTGGATGTGCCGTTCGCTTCGTTCTTTCTCTCCCAGCTGCTGGGCCAGACCCAGCAAGCCCTCTACTCTTGCATGGACGAGCTGCCCTCGCTCGACAACGAACTCTATCGCAGCCTTACCTTTATCAAGCACTACAAGCAGGATGTGGCCGACCTAAACTTGACTTTCTCTGTAGATCAGGATGTCATGGGGAAGATAGTCACACACGAACTGCATCCAGGGGGCAAGGCACGTGTTGTCAATGATCACAACAAGCTGGTCTACATTCACTACATGGCCTATTTCCATATGAACACCCAAATTCGAGAACAAACACAAGCATTCAATCGTGGCTTTCGCAGCATTGTCAATCCCGAGTGGTTGTCGCTCTTTTCTCCACCGGAACTGCAGCGTCTTATTTCGGGCGATACAGTGCCATTGGATTTGAGAGATTTGCGTAAGCATACACAGTATTATGGAGGTTTTCATGACTCCCATCGCGTTGTCGGCTGGCTGTGGGATATATTGGCCAAAGATTTCACGGAGGAGGAGCGCAAACTATTCCTTAAGGTACACTGAAGCATATATGTTTTTAGAAATTCTGTATAAACAAACACATTTACAGTTCGTTACGAGTTGCTCCAAACCTCCACTGTTGGGCTTTGCACACCTTGAGCCGCCTTTTTCCATACGTTGCGTTGAGGTGGGCGATGATGAGGATACGGGAGACACCATTGGAAGCGTTATACGCGGCTTCTTCACGATACGTAAGAAGGATCCGCTCAATAGGCTGCCCACCTCATCCACGTGCTTCAATCTGCTGAAGCTGCCCAACTATCAGAAGAAGTCAACGCTACGAGACAAACTGCGCTATGCCGTCAGCAGCAACACGGGCTTCGAGCTGTCCTAAAGCTGCCCTCTGGAGGTGGAGCTACATATCAGTTATGTATTGGAGACTTCAGTTTGGAGTCATTGGTGTTATATCTATTATTATCTATTCTATTCTCATTGTTCGCGGTCCGAGATTCTTGCTGAAATGTTGTTAAATATTTATTATAATCAAAAGGCACTACTTTTTATATTTGATCAACATTTTTCATGTTGAATTTTTATACTTGTAAGTTTCTTGCAATTGTGTAAATGTATATGTATGTGTGTGAGTTTCTGTATGTGCTTGAGCATATGTTGGTATTTTATAAAACATATTTTCAAAAAAAGAAAGAAATTGTCAAACGAAATAATGCAATTCAATTATAAAATATATATATCTGTATATGTATATGTTTAAACTTATAGCTGTGATAAACAACAAATTATAGTAAACTAACGACAAATACACAAAGCAACAGAATACGAAACTGAATGAATAACATGAAATACATAAATCATATAGCTAAATATAAATTATGATAAGATTTAAGAGTTATACCGTATTATACGTGGCTTGAGTGTGATGAATTCGCATATTGTATAAATTATATGTATGTAAAACATTCAAAACCAAAATCCAAAGTAACAGCAACAATAAATCTAAATGTCTGATTCATGTGCAAAACGTAAGCTTCGCTCCGATGTTTATCTTAAGGCGCTAAGCGCATTGCGAAACAAAATATGGTAAATTGAAAGCCAAGGGGCAGCAATTAGTGAATGAATGCTCAAATTTCCCTGGGTTTTTCCGGGAGCAGACAATGAAAACCGAGAACCGAGCACCGAGAACGAAATTGTTGCGCGACAGGCGCTAATGACGTAAATCCGTCTGGCCCGTGACTACTGTACAGGAACACTAATTGCCTGAGTCAGAGCTAGAGATAGGAAGTGCACTTAGTGCGGAAATGCTGAGCCTGGCTTCTGCAAAGCTAGTCAAATGACCGGATATTCAGCTGGCTAATGACTCGGACTGCGGATTTCTTCGTTGGATAACGGAGTTTCGGTTTCCATTTACAGTCATTTACAGTCTATTTTATGCATATTATTAGACAGTTTTATATCGTACAGGACCTCAGATGTTCCGGTTGACCGTTGCGGTTTTTTGTCTGCTCGTCTCTTCTTTTTTTTTTTGTGTGTAGAGTCTAGACAATAAAAATAAATTGTAGAGCCGACCCACAAACATACAATAATCATAACAATAATATCCAAAATGCCCGATAGACAGTCGGAAACAGTCGGCGGTCGGTTGTTAGCTGTCGCTCATCGTTCGGCCATAAAGTGCGCATCTTTTGTGCCCATTGTTCGCAGCAGCAGCAGCAGCAACAACAACAACAACAGCGGCAGCAGCAGCATCCCTTTGCACAAAGTGTGATCATTTTTATGACTCGCCTGTGAGATGATGCCGACAATGACGCCGTCGTCGTCATTTTTGTCATCCCACTGTTCCCAGGACAAGTGGCAATGCACACAGCAAAAGGTGACTGAGACTGCGACTGCGACTGCGACTGCCAGTCAAGTGGACGTGGCGGCTGTCGCTCGGCCCTGGCGCCAGTTTGATGTTCCACAACAAATTGTTGCGCCCCTTTGCAGCCATGCTAAAGTACCGTTTAACATTTGATTACGGCAGCTTATCGCCAGTCGCATCTCTCTTTGCTTTCGCTCGCACCGAACGGTAGCGAGACACAAACGGTATCTTGTATGCTGATCCTCGATAAGGCTTACAGACTAACTGATATCCTCTTCAGCCAGCTGGGATATGATCAGTCGATTGTGATTTCAAGCCAAAGTCGAAACTCATGAATGTAGGATTCAAGAGTGCAAGCCGATATAAGCACTTTAAATTTTAAATTTTACTTCAAGGATTTTAATAATAAGAAAAACACCTAGAAATCCTTTAGTAAACAACTTTTAGATGAGAGGAAGCAATTGTCGTGAAAATATTTATAAATAAAAGTTAAAATTACAAAATAAATATTTTACTTATTTCACTTTATACTAAGTATTGTAGAGTATTCTAAATTAAATTAACATAAAATAATATTAGAGGTTAATTACTGAAACCGTTCTATTGTAGTTATATATTATATATCATATATCACGTGGTAATTTTAAGTAATTTTTCAATAGTAAGTCTTGCTACATCTTTTCTTATATGAGAAATATAAGTTTCCATAAATATTATTATGACATCAATTTTCTTATTCAAGAACGTAATTGACATTTAACTAATTCGAAAGATAGAGATCCATATGTCTTCGACGAAAACGATTTGAATGAAATAATTATAAATATGCCTTATAACTGATGATGAACATTCTTATAAAAATTCAATTATGTTATAATTTATTAAATTATATAAATTTGGTTATATTAGTTATGACAAAAAATATCAGTCAGATCTGTAAATTTTTCATTAAATATGGCTAATAATTCATTTTTTTCGTTCGTTTTACAAATTAGAGTTTTTGTTCAGGAATGTAACTTATGAACTTTCCAAAATATCAAACCTATTCATTTGAATGACACTTTTGTATATCTTCTCTATTTTTACTCAATTAAATCTAATTCTTGACGCACGAGTTATATTAACTTTTACAAGGGTAGACAGTCTACAAATATGTTTTTGGCTCTATTTTTAGTACAGTAAATTTAATACCAAAACAAAAAGAAAATCATTTACCTATTTCGAATTTAGAAAATCCATATTACGCTTTTCACTATTAGCTATTTTAGGCTAATAGGCCATTATTAGTGAGGCAAATGTAAAAGATTTCCATTTTTATTACCATTAAGATCCGAACGTTTAGTTCAAAGAGATTCCCCCCAAATGCAATCAATGTTATCAACAACAATATGGGCGCCCATCATTTAGCTCCGCCAGTGAAGAACTCGCTCAAAATGGCGCAATCATTGACCGGAGCGAGATAGCATGCTATGCGTCAGCAGCAGCGACCAATGAGCGCTCCGTAGATGAGAGAGCGCAAACTGGAAGAGGCATGAGCGGAGAAACAGGTTGTGCAGCTACCTGATACGACGGCGAAGAATGAGAAGTGAACTGACTGGATTCTGTTGGAATCGAGTTGTGAGCGAACGAATTTCAGAGCGCAACAGTTACAATCTGAACGGCAAGGCGAGCAGTTCGTGAGTGAGCGAACAAACAAAGAGCAGAAAAAAAGATCTGATCGAGATTTCGACTTAAATCAGATTGAAACGCGCTTTGAGAGTGAACAATAAACAAGTCGTAAACATTACTAATTGTCAAATATTGTGATTACAATTAAAAATATGTTGGCACTGCCGAACATTGCGGATCTGCGCATGCAGCAGCAGATTGCGCACGAGCTTTATCGCCAGCAAATTATGCAACGTCTGCCAGGTATGTCTTCAGCGTTTGAGTGTGCTTTGCCGACGGCTTTAACATCTCTGTTACCATCTCCCTGTTCATTGCAGATCCACTGTGCGGCCTTTTGCCCAATTTCGGTTCGCATTTCGTGGCGCCCGCAGTGGCGCAGCCCTCGCTGCCTGGCGTGGAAGCGAAGCTCGAGAACAACGAACTGTGGCAGCAGTTCCATCACATTGGCACCGAAATGATCATCACAAAGAGTGGCAGGTATGTTGAGTTATCATTTGCTTAGCGTATCTCTGCGCCCGCTTATCTCAGACTCACAGCTGTGGCATGCAGAGCAGCAAGATAAGCCCTCGAATGAGATCATTTACCATGTTAGTAACCGCCATTGTAATTGCTTCACTTTATCCAGACGTATGTTTCCATCGATGCGTGTCTCGCTCAGCGGGCTGGAGGAGGAGGCCAACTATTGCGTGTTGCTGGAGATGGTGCCCATTGGCGACTGTCGCTACAAGTTCTCCGGATCCCAATGGGTGCCGGCTGGCGGTGCCGAGCCCCAGAGTCCACAGCGCATGTTCCTACACCCGGACAGTCCCGCAACGGGCAAACATTGGCAATCACAGGCTTTGCTGTTCAGCAAAGTCAAGCTAACCAACAATACGCTGGACAACAATGGACATGTAGGTGTAGTCTTTGCATATAATCCCCTCTCAGTCACTTATCGCAAATATTCGCTTATCTACACACAGATTGTCTTGGCCAGCATGCACAAGTATCAGCCACGACTGCATGTGATTCGCACAGCCGATCTGACCCAGATACCCTGGGCCCCGCAGCAGGCCTTCGTTTTCCCCGAAACTGAGTTTATAGCTGTCACAGCGTATCAGGTATGTAGTCTTGGGCCTCAATTCAATTGATCAATTACTAATCTTCTTCTCTTCGCTCACAGAACGATCGCATCACAAAGCTCAAAATCGACAACAATCCCTTCGCCAAGGGCTTCCGCGAGACGGGCCAGTCACGCTGCAAGCGTAAGCTTAACGACTCCTCCTCTGCGCCTGCACATGCAGAGGGTACGGGAGCCGTCAACAACATGGAGCTCACAGCCTCGCCGTCGGCCAAACGGCTGCGTCTTCCCGAAGAGCTCTCCCTGCTGCCTCCACAGCAACAGCAGCCAGCGAGCGGGCTGCTGATGCCGCGCCATTATCTGCTGGATACTCTGGAGGCCAATTTCTATCTGTCAGCGCCACCGCCGCCCCTGCCGTGCATTGATTATGCCAGACACATCGCCAGCTATCCAAGTTGGGCCTATTCGCCGCCATCGCCCGATTCGTCGCGTGCCTCCTCCTCCTCGTCTGGCTGCGATTCCGCCGCCGAGCCAGAGACCGATACCTTTGTAGATGTAGTGGGCACCACGACAAGCCCGCCAGAGCCCGACCTGGAATCCGAATCGATTAGCCGAATCACTGGTATGGCCAACGTAGCCGTTGCCGCTGCTGCTGCTGCCGCCGTTGCTGTCGCTGCGGTGCCGAAGCCCAAACGGAGCAGCTTCAGCATCTTGGACATATTAGGAGTGAGCGTCTCGTCTTAGCTGTGGAGCTGCTGCCGCTGCTCCCATTTCAGTTGTTCAGCTGTATAGTTGTCGCTCCTAAGTGCCTTATACATTTAATTAGCGTTTAGTTGCGTAGTCCGTAGGTTGTATTGTGATATTTTGCAGTTAATTAAGATTTCCAGGTATTTGCCATCAGTATTTATCCTAAGTATTTATTATGCAATTTTAATTGTTTAAATGATTTCGTAATGGATTTATTGTCTTTGGCATTTTAATGCGAGTAAATAAAGATTTTTTATAAGAATTTCAGAAAAGCCCTTTCTTATTGAAGCATTAAAAAGGGCCAAGTCGTTGTTCATCTTGTTGGAACAACGAGAGAAATGATTTTACTCGACCACTTTGGGTAGAGAATATACAAACTATATAAACAGAAGTTACTAGTTAGGTGTCGGGTGGGTTATGTATGTATTTCTATAATTGTGCCATTACATTCATAACTATGATATTATTATTATTGTTAGTAAAATTTTTTTTTGTTTTGGCATATTTATTTAAGTTTTTGTATATTTCACACAGATGTCATTACTCTATTATTCTGTTGACAAATTACGACCCGCTGAACTAGGGCGCATGCCAAACTAAAGCAACGATATTATTGATTATAAAATATTTACAATTTATCAAGAGAGAGAGAGAGCATATCCAATGGCTATATTTTCTATGTATAGTATAAATTACGACACTTTATCAGTATAACTATGTGAAGAAGAGTTGTCATAATTGGTTCACAATTAGATTCAGATTATATAATATAATTATAATAGTCATAAAATTACTATTATTAATAATAGCAATTGTAATATAAGAATTACAAAATAATATAATAATTTTTGTTAGTTGATTGATTTTTTAATTAAGCTAAGTATTTGCAATGATGACTTGCCTTATAAAATTTGATCAACAGCGCCCACTAGGTATAAATATTCCACTAGAGTATTTAAGCTTCGTTGTGTCGCATTATTTTACATGAATCATTTTTATCTGGTGTCCCATTATCTTCATTCACCTTGCATATGAATTGTTACTAATTCTTGTTCTTCCCTTTATGTATATGCATACATATATATTTTGAAATTATTTGGTGTGCTTCCATTTTGTTCACTTTTTGTTTTTGTACATATAATTGCGTCTTCTATCTTTCGCGTGCTGGCCAGGAAAACCAGTTCCAGCTTCACAAGCTCACGCTGGTTCGCAGAGAGGGCTGCACAATTCGCTCTCCCGCTTCACTGCTCCAGCAATAGCAACAACAACGAGCGCAGCAGAAGAAGAAGCACAGCTACAACGCCGACGACATGAGCTTATCAGCAGATCAGAGAGAGCCGCATCTTAAATGCTGGCGCCAGCGCCAGTGCCAGTGCGCTGATTGAGCGCGACGATCGGCAGGTAATCCTGGCGAGCAGTTGGCCGCAAGGTAAGAGCAAATGTAATTGATGTTTTCACGTTGTAGTTGTTTGCCATTTACATGCAAAATTGTTCGAGTCGTTGCCTCACACATGCAACTTGTTGCGCTGGCCAACGGAAATGCGGCGGCCCCTTTGAGTGCCCGCCAAACGGAGCTCAGGCCGAATCGATAACCGATAACCGGTAGCCGAGGAGCGAGCGAGACAGGGCTATTGCCCAAATTGCAAATCTTCGACGGTGGCATTTCGTTTCATTTCAAATCGCGTTAACAAACAATTGTTAAGCGGCTGATTCCCCAACTTTCAGCTCCAGCTCCAACCACTAAACACCACACACGTAGGCCGCAACCTGTTTTGTTTCTTTTTCTGCAGCTCTCGGTGGGGACATCTGTTGCTTGTCGGCGGCTGTGGGGCTGCAGCTCCATTCATGTTGCCGCTGGAAGTGTTTATGGGCTCCACATTAGCCACACTGCATATTCATGTTAAACGTCGCTAAAAAGACTAACGACGCCAAATATCCATTGTGTTGCTGTTGTTGTTGCTGACTTGCTCGGGGCTATTTGCTAAAATTTATTGAATTCTCATTTGGGAGCCACGGCATCCGAGTGCCACAAACCTGAGACAAGAGCTAGCTAGGCGCAGGTTCAAAAACGTTCGCATGTCAAAGGCAAATGAGCGCCGTTGCAGGTCCCGATCCCAGTCTCGGTCTGCGGCTCTCCAGCGGTAGATAAGCAAACTTTTTATCCCAGGCAGGCCTTGTGTTTGCTGTATATGCTCCAGCGCTTATTGTTTGTTATTTCCCTCTCGTTCACTCTGTTGTGTATGTGTAATTTCGTTGGAAATTAATGTTATGGCGGTCAAAATCAAAGTCGTGGACATTTCGCTGGCGACAATTTTATCGGCATCGCAATGAAATCATTTGGAGTAGAGTTGGGCGCCGGCTTCAATCATCCCAATGCGACATGCTCATTCGTGCTTCCAATTGCCACACGATGCGTAAGCACTTAAGGAATGCAAGACACTCTGGATGCTCATGATGCCCTCCCATTTGATTGAATGTTTCAATTTATATTCGGAAATGCATGAAATTCAGCGGGTGATATTAATCCTGCACAAAGAGCATATATTCATATTAATACAAAAAAAAAAAAAAAACAAAAGAAACGTTCTGCAGGTGACCGAGTTAGTTAATTTTAGAATGGCATAGATTAATATATAAGTAATATTAATATTTAAATAAACAATCTCAGCATAATTAATTCTCATGAAAAGTAATAATACTCATTGTTTCGGTAAGCATTTAGGATGATGACATTTATAACTAAACAACATAATACATCAATTAGTAAATAGTGGACATAAGTAATACAAAAGAATTTAACTCAATGCTAATTTTTCTTAAGCCAGCTATGTGATATAATAGTAAGATGCATATTCATTGTTACTCTAAAAAAGAACTCAATCAGTCTTTTGAATATTAACAGATAATTCATATTACACGTCTGAAATAAAGTTTATTATTATTTTGATACTAACGCTTATGTTTAGCTTTTTTCAGGATCTTAAGAATAGATAATAAATGAAAAATAGGTCGATACACTTCAATGTGACTTATTATGAAAATGCAATATCCGGCTTGCAATTTTAATTATAGTTATGGGTGATAATCGTTTCGAGTAGTTGGGCGGCGATGCCAATGATTGGGATCATTGTACTCGACCAGGTTAGTCAGATCAAAACCAGCTGGCACAGTGATGTAGGCATTGGGCCCGGTCAATATCATATCTTCATGCATAGGAGGCATGTCCTCGAAAGGCGACACGTACGGGGTGCTTTCGGAAACAGTTTGAAAGCTAGCCGATGTAGGGGTAGTTAACTGAAAATATAATTCTTAGATACTATACGAAAAGGAATAGAGTTTATATACTTTGCTGGGCTTTATAAAAAGTTGTGTGTTCAAGTGGCCCTTTTTTCGATCAAACTCCTCGTCCGTCAAACTTTCAAGTTTATTGACTTTTTTGTCCTTATGGAAATAATTATCCAATGCGGCTGTAAATTCCCGTTGCAGCGATCGTTTTTTTCCCGGATTGTTTTGTTGCTCTTCAAGCCAAATTTCGGTAAAGGCATACTTTTGCAATACTTCCGTGCCGATACTGATATTCATTGGATCATTCTTGTTTGACGGGGTTGCATTCATGTTGAACAGATCCATATCAGGCATTTCCGAATTGCCTTCCACCATGTAATGAGACTTTTTCAAGTTCTTCCTTGACGGCTGCAAGTCGGGGGTGTGATATTGGTTCGGGCTTACAAAAGACGCATTTGCATCCAAGCTACAGGTGTCAGGTGACTTGGGAGCAGAATAGGCTGCCTGGAAGCTTGGCTTTATCTATGTATAATTAAAATCAATATTAATGCGCCAAATATATGTTTATGTACTAACTTTCTTATAAGCATTCTTCTCGAATTTCGGTGATTCTGCTATGGAGTTTTCTACGTCGGTTAGAGATTCCAATATGGCTGAATCGAAATCGCTCTGTGCGAAGGAGTGAAACGAATCATTGTCATCGTCAATTTCTTCGCAATACACTTGCTTATCTTTATTATTAAAACTCATCGTCTGTATCTGATCTTCAAAAGTAAGAAATGTCTAATTAAAGCGCAAATTTGCGTAGAGATGGACGCGTGACTAAAGATGCGCAAGAGCTAGTTTAATGATCATTGATCAAAGCTTATGACGGTCCGATTGGCTTTCGATAGTTAGAAAATTCAAAGGGAATTCAGTGCAATAAAAAAGAAATTCTAAATATTCAACGAAAACCCAAAATTAATTATGTTCGGACATAATAATCATAATCTTAAAAACTAAAAAAAAAAAAAAATCTTTACTAATTTTCTGTAGAAAACAACACAAAATATTTTGAAATATATTTTAAAAAATTTTTTGAATATGAAATTTTTATAAATTTTCTGATGTTTGCTTTATAATTGAAGATATTGCAGTTGTAATATATTTGATTTAAAAATAATTATATATTTATTGTGAAAACATAGATACTGGTGTTAGCTGGCATCACTTGACATTGCACTTGCAATTTACGTATCGACTCTCTTATGATAATGCATTATCGATAAATAAATTTCAGCCGATATCTTTGTGGTTGGTTTAAGTACGCCCCTCTCAGGTAGCGAGTGTTTGGACAAACAATAATATGCAAATTATGCAGGGAACTTAAATACATCTATAGTTTGCACTCAATAGACTTGTAGACAAAGGGCACGGACAATGGGCGCAACAACAGAGAGCAGCACACGCACTTGACAGCGGGCATTGTTGGTGTTGCTACTTTGAATTGTTCTCATGGAATTGCAGAAATGAAGCATGGGTCGAATCGGTCCGGCAAACCTTTGCCGTTTGCCTGCATGTGTGTGGGTGGATTTTTATTATCCGGTAATTGTTTGTGCCATTGTTCACACGCTACGATCGAAAAATTACACTCTTTGTTAATTGTCCCATCCCCGGACTCGGACACAAACGCGGACGCGGTCTCGCGCCCGGCCCATATGTGAGCCCATTTGCATAAACTGCTCTGCAGGCTTCTAAGTGGGCTTGGCTCCGCTCTAGTTTAAAACCACGGCTTAGGACTACGCTTGAGAAAGGCGAAAGAAAAGGTACATCTATGCACATGCATAGATTATGAGAGATTTGGCATTTATGGCTTGGCTCCGGCGACACGACGCTGAGCTATCTTCCTGCTGCCGACCTTTGTTGCATTCTTCTGGCCTACAAAATATGTTTATTTTCGGCGAGGGATCAATGTGGTCAGCCGCTTCATTCGTTCAGCGAATCAAATACTAAACACAAATATGGTAACCTTTTTTCTCCCCACCATTTTCCCTTTACTCCTAATTAAAATCGTGTGCGCAACTGCAATGGCATCTACATATTTGGCAAGGAGTGGAAAATGTCTCGCTTGATGTCACAAGGCGCGCTATTTGAGTTTTTCTTTATAATGACTGATGCCACGCGTAAAACGTTTTTCTTTCACATTAGCACTTGTTTTTGTTCGCCGGCAGTCAAGCAATTAACTTTCGTTTAGGAATCGGTAATGGTATTGGATTCGTCGTTGTTCGGGTGGCTCCCCATTTTGTGTTTACACAACAGCAATTGGCTGCAGCGACACAGTGTATCTAATTTCATGGGGCACACAAAAAGCAACAACAAATGTCGAGCCGTAAAATACAACAGCCAAATGCATTAATTACGCACACGCCGCACAACCTGCGACATCTGCCAGACGCCGACGTAGACGCAGACGCGGACGCAGACGCAGACGCTTACGCAGTTCTAGCTATTTAATGAGGCATTCAATGCACTTACAACCTTGCGCCTGTCAACACAGCCAGAGCGACATCTGTCACCCGTTCGGTGCGCTATAAAACCGCAGCCCGCTGCTGCAGTTGCCGCTGCTGCTGCTGCTGCTCCCTGGTGAGTACAATTTAGAAATCGATTTGGTGGTAAATTGAAATTGTTAGTTTTTTCTATATATTCTTCTTCTGCATTTTTTGCTAGCCGTCCTCTGGCCGGAGACTACGTCTGCACACGCCTCCCTCGACATCCTCTGTTCGACTTCAGACGTGGGTGGTGACGCATGTCATCGTAAACTTCATCATTGGCCATCGAAATAAACTAGGGAACTACAAAAACAAGCAACTGCAGCTTACATAACGAAATGTGTCTGTTTCTCTTGTTTTCTTGTTTCTTGGCTGCTGCTGTTGCCGCCGACGCCGCCGTCGCCCTTAGTCTCAGTCTCTGCCCATTTCATAAACATCTTTAACCACTATGAGTCTCCAGAGTATTCTCATTGGGCTGCAACCGAATTTCATGCCTTGTCGAGCTATTTAATTGCAAACAAATTATGTTCTGGCCACTCGCTGCTGCGCGTCCCAGTCCGTTGGTGCAGTGTAGCTAATGGATGCTGCACCACCGGCGTCATCTTCGTCGGCTGATGATGTTGTTGAAATTCTAGCGTTTATCTTGTAAATTGGTTGGGATTAATGTTAAGCGGAAGTTGTGATTTGAGTTGCGTCTACTGGCTGCCGCTGCTGCTGCTGCTGCTGCTGCTGCTGCTAGATGGTGCACCACCGATAAAATCCCAACTGACTGACAACATATTCATTTACCTACAGCAAAGTGTAGGGGCGTGCTAGCTATGAAGCATCCTTTAGATCTGCCAATTAGCCAAAAGGTATTTAGGCTGTCTGTCCTAAATACTTGGGATCTCCTTGCATTAAGTAAGTCAATAATCTAAGAGGCGCCTTCGAGTGCAGAGACTTTTATTAATGTAGTCATAAATATTAGAAAGGTATGGATATATATTCATAAGTCATGTGGATTTCTTGATAACTGATGTAATTTTTATTTATCTATATCTATAACCATAGTAATATCTATCTACAATTCAAATACGATTTCTTTTCTGCTCCTCCACTTTTGTCGATGTTATTTTTTCGTTTCTTTTTATTCCTAATTATGAAATTATGTAAGAACTATTTATTTAATGCATAATAAGATAGATAACTAGACACTATCAATTATATCCGTACGATTACATGGATGCCTAAAGGGATTCAAATAAGAATTTATCTATTCTAAGATTTATAGTGAACCCATTGAAAATGAGAAAGAGGGTAAAATGGTGGAGTACAATTTTTTGTAAGAGACAGAAGGAGGCGTGGCAGTTCACATAAAGTCTTATGTACATTTATGACGTCTGTCGTCTATCTATCCATCCGTCCGACAATCTCAGAACCTTTAAGGACTAAAGACTTTTATTTCTTTGTGGGTTTTTATGAAACATATCGAGTTGTTTAAAGGAATATAGAACTATTCCCGTTTCATTGCCTTCAGTTATAAAATTACATCTTTTAAATCCGTAGATCTATAGTCACACAATTTTGTATTTAGTTATATGTATGCATATGTATATTATCCAGCTTTAATTTTGTATGTACTCCAACTATTATGAAATTCTATAAATATAAGGTCATTTGATAATATAGAAAATATGTGAATGTTTGTTTATTTTCCTATAATGACAAATATTCAATAGTATATGCACATTATATATATGAAGTTTTATTATTATAATGTATACAAGATAGATGACGTTCAAGACCGTTGTTATTTATGAACGAATGTCAATCCATAGTTACTTACGCATTTAATTAGAATTTAATTTCCCATCACTCCGATGATTAAAATTAAATATTAATGAAATAATTTTATTAAATATATAGAAGTATTTATTAGGCAAACTTAACATTAGCTTATGGACTAATCAGGCAAAGTTCAGCTTACATTTGTACACTATATAATATCAAAGGCATTAGCTCGGCACTCTCAGGTTGCCACAGGCTGTTGCAACTAGCTCCCTCCGCCTAGAATTGCAGATATGCTGAAACCTTTTCGCTTGGTGGGTGCCTCGGGGGGCGGAGGATGTTGATGTTGCTGTAGCGTGGTTGTTGTTGTTGGTGTTGTCATTGCTGATTCGCTGCCAACATCTAGCTCTGCATCGTCCGTTGTCGATTCCTCGTCAGTGTGCTGAACGGAAATGCTGTGAGGCAAGGCGAGGGCCGGAAGTGCTGGCAATGCGGTTTGCAAAATGGACGTTGGCGGATACAAATGCGACGTCGGCGTCGCTCCATTGTATTCATGTGCGGGACGGCCGAAGTAGGTGCAGGCGAGATCGACCAGCGAGGGTCGCAGCAGTGTCTGCATGTTCTGCTGAAAATGTTGCATGAACGAGGCGGTGGCAGCGGAGTTGGCGCCGCCAGGGGGCGAGCCCAAGGAGCTGGCGCCAGGCCCGACAACTGGCTCAGCGCCATCGAGCGATGACGATAACGAACAGGCGGAACCATTTGATCTCAGGCGCTTAATTTGCGGCCCATCCTGCTCGCTGTTGTTCGATGTGAATGTTGCCTCGGCTGTCGCTGTCGCTGCCGCTGACGCCGCCGCCGCTGCTGCTGCTGCTGCTGCTGTCGTCGTGGATTTGCCTGGCGACATGTCAAGCGAGCCAGAGGACTGCGAATGCGTCTGAGGCAAATCTTGATCATCATCGGTTGGCGATGAAGACATTTTGCGTTTGCAGCGCGACTGTCCCGTTTCGCGGAAGCCCTTCGCAAACGGATTGTTGTCGATCTTCAGCTTCGTGATGCGATCATTCTGCGGAAAGAGGCAAAAGGATAAGGAGTCAATGTAGCACCAGTTACACTATCGTTGTAAATTGCATGAAATATGACAATTGCCAGTTGTTGACGCAGACGGAGACGGAGACGGAGACAGACGGAGTCACTATCACATCATCATCTTTGAAGCAACGGCCAGTAGCTGGCGTTAAGTAACAGGGCCACTTGACACCGCTGCCAAGGAGTCGTCTACTTGAGCCTTGGAGTCATGACTTGACAACTCTGTGAGGATGATCTGGTGGAAGTGATCACGCTAATTAGAGCCCAGACTGCCGACTGACAGACGGAGGACTGGCGACCTGCCGGCGCTGTCAATGGGCCCAGACATAGACAAAAACACAGCAAGAGTCAAAAGGATGTGGCTATCCAACTTCCTAAAATAACAAGCAACAACACAGGCAACGTGACACAGGCCGCCCGCCCGGGCCACTTGTGGCATTTGTAGACAAAGGGCGTTG